TCTCTACTGGAGCAACCAATCAATAAGTTATATTGAATTGGCCAATTGACGATGTAGCAAACGCGTGCAGAAAAAAAGAGATATAAGATATAAATATATATTTTTTTATTTTATAAGTTATGTATGTACAAAATAGAATTTGGATTATTTCGTTCTGTCTACTTGACACACTCATTATTCACAATAAATTCTAAATTGCAGAATCACGCAGAATGTATTTTTAGCACACAGTTGTGAAAAGTGTTGTTGAGGCATAATAGGCGAGTGCCAGAGGCCTGTTTCAAAAATAAATTTCCATGAGATTACATAATCATTTATATAAATCGCTTAATAAGTAATATAAAATTTGAAAAAAGTTGCTTCTTGCAATTCAAAGAGCAATTTTCTTTTTCCTCTGCAATAAAAATTGATCTCTAAAAAATATGCGTTTGTTGCAGCTTACTTATTTTGTGATTTTTAGTTTTAGTCATTATTTATACATATTTTATTATCTGTAGTGTATACAGTTGTGTAGGATTATACAGATTGTATCTTACAATTAGCCTGAACTATATAATTCCAGATGTTACATATTAAAACATATTGTACATAAAATGCGATGTTATAAAATTATTTGTAAAATAATTTTAAAAAATATCTTACACGAATCGTAGTGCTAATACAAGTATCTACACTTTTTTCGCGAATTCGTGTATAGAATGCATCACTGACATATCATCTCGTTCTACTAACCATTGCTTGAGAAGACGTTCAATCCTCTTGGCATCAATCTGTAATAATTTAATAATAATAACAATAGCAACAACAACAAGCAATGAAGGAAACATTTTATCATATATTTGTACAGCATTCTGTAATTCTCATAGAATATTTAATGATAGACACCTTATCTGTATCGATATCGGTAACTTTCAAACCTTTCATCAGACCAGTAATATCTACAATCCATATTTGTTCGCAAATTGTAGCAACCCATAAGTTGGGTGTCAATCGACCTATTACGTGATCACTATCAAAACCTGACCTGCAAATTAATTAATTAAGTGCGTCAGTATACAAAATATATGATAAATAATCTCATATTATTGCAATAAAAACGATGTTTAAAAAAAAACGATAATTAAACATGTTCAAGGTTCAACCTTGTGATTATCTTAGTTCTGTCGATGATCCAAGGTACTATCGTCCTCAAATTTAATTTTTCTTTCCTCTCGTTTCTCGTATTTTTCATCTTTTCAAATAGCTGTAAGAGTCTGCTTTTATTTTTCTCCGAGTCTTTATTCGCATCTACTCGAATAGATGCTCTTTTCTCGACTTTTTCCTGGCTCTGATGTTCCTTTTCTTCTTCACGCGCGATATCGCGATAATAACCGCGCTCTTCGGATGACAGTTGCTTCCAGAAGTCGGTAATCTTTCTTGCAGTTTGGGCTGCTGTTAACGTAGGATTTTCCTTTGCAACTAAACGCAGGATAGTTATTAATATTGTAACTTTAATTGTTTTATATATAGATTTCATTTACTATACGTCTTTATACACAATAACTATTGTAGGTGTACGAGCAATGTATAAAGAATTTGGATAATAGCACAATTATACCTTGTGATCTAACATGCTTTAGAAATTTAAGATTTTTGTGATCAACGTGCGTTCTATCTGGCTCTATTATTTCATCAGTCTTATTATTTAAGTTATCATCTGACTGTCTCTCAATGGCAATATCCGATTTTATAACTGTACCACCCTGTCGTGTTTGACAATAGTGTTAGTTGTATCATAATTCTACGATAAAATTGAATGAAGGAAAATTATTACGTGTTCTAAAATCATTAGAATTTCACCTTAAGTCCAGTGACATGACCCTTACTCCATGCTTCCAATGTAACTTGCTTTTCTTGGATGTCTACTTTATCCTCGTTTTTATTCACGGAAATATGACAATTTCCAATTTCTTCTATAAAGTCAAAATCCTCACCAAGGTCTACTACAGGTAGCTGACTTAAAGTTAAACTATATTCCGCCCTGCAATTTACATTACTAATATTTATATAGTTGTCTGTAGTTCTTGAATTGCAATTGAAATATTGATATACTTGTGTGAAAAATCAAAAACATTTCAAAATTTATATATTAATCAATAATCACATTCTATATACTAACGTCTCATCATTAGTGGTAGGGACGGTATCGTTTGAATCAGAATCGCTCAAATTTGGTGGTTGTATATGGGATGTCACAGCCAATGTATCTCTGTAATGCTTCTGATCACAAATCTGATTATCATTCTGTTGCTCATCTTGAGGTTTCTCATATACATTATCATTATTAAGCATCGGTTTTTCTTTAACAATATCTTCTCGAATAACTCTCTCTTGAGCATGTATTTTTCGTCTTTTGCACGCAGGCCATTCGGTGTCAGCCACATTTTCATTCGCACTAGGTGTGTAATCTTCATAACAGGCAGACGTGTCTAACGACACGTTTTGTTCAGTAACTTCCGCAGATTTAAGTCCATAAAATTTCCTTATATATTTATCAACAGCATTAAGGACTTTATTCTACAATGTTAATTATACACTTTGTAACATTTATATACGTGTATTTCGCATTTTACATTTTTTAAAAGCTTTAAAATAGAGAATAATCATTTGACTTGCTTCATACATTTACATAATTATTAAACTTGTTTTATAAAAAAATTCATCTTTAACATTAAATGTAGCATTATTTAAATTCTAATTTAAATTTAATTTCTAATTTTACCTGATCTTTGAAAAAAATTGCATCTTTATTTGGTTCTAGATTGACATCAATGTCCATTGGCCTCAAAGTAATGTACACAAGAAATACCACTTTCTTTCTACATGACTCTTGTTCAAAATGTTCTAATATCAAACCATTTACTAGCTACGTATATAAAAAAAAGATACTTTTACTATTTTATTATAGATATAAAAATATTATTTATATTTATAATATGTAATAAGATTTGTAAAAGAAAAATTCAGTTTTTACTTCTGAGTTAAAATATAATAATATTCGTATACACAGAACATACCTTTTCAAGATCCTTGTGCTTAATAGGCCTATTATTTACAAAAATATAGTGTAAATCGGAATGAGAAATTTCTGATAGATCCTGTACCTTTTTTGAAGGCAACATTAATTGCAAAGTAAGCTGAAAAATGATCAAGACATTCTCAGAAGAGTTGCTAATTATAACGAAACATATTTCTCTTCGTAGCATAATGATTTTTCAAACAATTTCAAGAATATATCTACCTCTGCATCCTTAAACTCAATCCATTCCATGTTAGACATAATTTTTCTGCCAAGTATATGATTCACAGCTTCTTTGATATTATTTAGACTTGGCTTTGTAAACGTAACATTATTGTTCGTTCTGAATTGAATTCGTACGTTTGGTTTACATATCCCAAAGCATTGCATCAGTGTCTCCAATAATTTGATAGTCTGATTAGCTTTTCTCGTATTGATAATTATTTGTCTCCTTACAGGCACTTGCTTAAATAAATTTCTCACTTGCACCGTAGTTCCTATAATAAATTAGTATATCTTTTTAAGAATGCATACGCCACACAAAATATAGTAACAATCACATATATGTTATCATACATTTTGAAGAATTTTAAGAATTAATAAAACATTTTTACCGGTGCTTCTATGGCAAGGTTCACGGTTGACAACTTGTCCATCATGATTCATTGCGTACGAGGTCCCAACATTATCCTCTTTCGTTTTTGTTATAATGACAACTTCTGCTACCGCGCACACTGCGCTAAGTGCTTCTCCTCTGAATCCAAACGTTTGCAATGTATCTGCGATAAGAATAGACATAGGAATTTGCTTATAAAAATTGCTACGCGACTACGCTGTGGTTTAAAAATATTTCAGCTGACTGAAACATTATAGATTGAATATGCGAGTGCTACCTAGATCTTCAAAATTTGATATTTTAGACGTGTGGGAAGGTAATCCCATATACGGCGCGTCCTCCTTAGATATGCCACAACCATTGTCCTTTACTTCTATTAAGGATGTGCCGTTATCTACCTGAGAGGAACGAAAAGACGCATGAATATGACAATCTTTCTTGAAAAAAATACCATGCAGATATGTAAACTCGTCGAGAACATATTTTGAAAGTGTCTGCTATAAATTTTATCTATAGAATGCCAGCAAAACGTAACAAAATCTGTTAATAAAATATAACGGCAGATTGACTGCAGAAACTGAACAGAATCTGCCGTTTCGTAATCAATTCAATGATACGTTCCAATTAAATGTTTAATGAAAGATTTTACTCCGTTTCTGCCAATTTGTTATCACCGTTATCAGATCATATCGGCAAGCTCTACCGGCAAAATACGAGTTTAACGCAAACACAGATGAATATCTGTTGCAAAATCTGTTGCCAATCCATTGTCATGCTGTTTGCTTATTGGAAATATATTATATTGATTGTTACGTACAAGGTTAATTTCGATGCTCTCCGCGTTGGCATCGATGGCATTTTCTATCAATTCCTTCACCACGGCATACACGGACGTTATTATTTGCGTGGTGGTAATTAGTTTTGCCGTTCTTACGTCCAGTGCCGAAATCGGCATCTTTTAAATGTCATCAATTCGAAAAATGCTTTGACAATCTACGATATTTTTTAAATATAGCTACCAGTACCACGTGCACCGGCATGGATTGGAATGGCTCTGCTCTCTGGAAGTCGTACTATGCTATGCATTACACTTTCTGCACTTAAAACGAAATAGAGATATGATTTTACGTTGGAGAGAGAAAGAGAAATGGTGCGAAGAGTACAGTTACAAAGAATAAACATAGGGCAGGTGCAGAGGATTTGTTCTTCGTAGTTGTACTTTCATCTTCATCCTTTTATTTCCTTTTTCCCAGATGCAGACGCAAATTTCGAAAATGAGTGAACAAATAATGAGCTCGTTAATTCTCGTATTGTGAGTTTCAAGAGACGAAAATTCATTAAAAGAAGAAGAAGAAGATAAAACACATGATGCATGTGTGTTGTGAAGATTAAGATCTGTGAAAACATGAGAGAAGATGTGAAGATTGGTGAATAAATATATTCAAGAACAATTTTAGTCTTGAAGAAATCGAGGGAAGATCAGTAATTAGGGATTATGCACTAAATAATATATTAGTAATCGATTGGAGAATTCCAACGTCGCGTTGTCATCTCGGGTGTATTGCAGACACGTGAGGGTGTTGTGGTTAGAAGTGGCATTTTAACATCGACACACCGAGGATGGAGCGGTTTAACATGCAGATCTTCCTCGAGTTGAAGTCGTGCTGCGACAATTTGATAAAAAATCCGACTAAGGATCACGCGTACCGAGTTGCGGAGGTGGTCGGAAACATCCCCGATCAAACCATGCAAGATCTGTCCCAGTACTGTTTACTTCCCATCATCACCAGCCTACAAAGCGACTCGAGGTAATTTAGCATCTACAGCATTCGTTGCTGCACTAACTTGTGCTACATATGATAAAAGAAAGATGGTTGTATACAATGTATTGTCGTAATATGTACTATCAATGATATAAAAACAAATGTCCGATCTGAAATATATTTCTTTATGTAGCACGAACGTGAAAGAGGAACTGATAAGGACTGTGAGAGTTATAATACGAAAGATTAGAATTACAAAATTGAAACTCTTCTTCGACATCTATGGATCTCTGTTGATCCAGATTTTTGACAAGAATCAGCCAAATCAAGGTATGAAAACTGGATTACGTCGTTGAACCTTTATAATGATTTATAACGATAGTCTAATTATCTGATTGTTTGAATTTTACAGTGATCTTGTTTCACGAGGAGCTTAAGGAGGCAGTAGCATTATGTATTAAAGATCTTATCCACCAATGCGTTACCGACGTGATAGAATCACTTTATACCAAGGAAAATGTACTGAAACTCGGTCAAGGAATATTTTTATGTCTAACAATCGCAAGAACTGAAAAGTCATATTCTGTGAGGTAAGCATTTAGAAGAAGTATATTGAAGACAGCATTATATTAGTTTTATAGCAAGTTTCATCACGTTATGCAGCCTTGGATGAGACAAAGCTTCCAAAATGATTTCATTACAATTGCAATTTTTATAAGAAGGAAATGCAAATCCCTTACTCAACTTTTACTCTGAAGGCTTTGTTCGTAAGATTTATTTATTGTCGTTATTGTTTGGAAGTTTCTGTTCTCCAAGAAATGCCGTAGTACCATTTATTACAGTGGAATAGTTTTCCAATCAAAATTTATAGTATCGTATATGCATGATGGCAAGTCCGGGAATTAAACAAGGATCTTTTGCTGAACTGTTCTAGTAATGAGCTGTCCAACATTTCAGTCTTATAATGTATCACCTTGAAATGTATATTTATATTAAATAAAATTAATTATGTTAGATTAGCTGGGATAGAAGCAGTAATGGCTTTGTGCCATATCGATGATGACCTAGACAAATCCGACATTATTATGCAAGATCAAGTAGCAGACACCATCATGGCATTTTTTCCTGGTATTGTCAGTGGGCTACAGGAAATAGCAATGGGAGGTGAAGTTCAGAATCATAAAATTACAACGGTAATACATGATTTTTACATATATTAAACTACTTTTAAGATATTCCAAAAGTGAAAGATTATTTGAGCAATAATTATAAATTGTACAATAACTGATTATTACAGATAGCAATTCGAGCATGGGGTAGAATCATATCTCTTGTAGTCGGTGATAAAGCTGAAGAAGACACTGAAGAAGACATGTTATCTATAGAAGCACTTATGAAAAAAGGTTGCAGTATATCCACCGACGCACCACATAGTGCTAAACATAACGGAAAGTGCGACATAGAACATAATTTAAAAGGAGCTACAAGAAATGAAGTATGGTTTGAAGCCGTAGCAGTTAAGCTTGGCGCTTGTATACAACTGTTAGACCAAATTAGGAGCCATTCGCACTACAAAGTTAAGAGAGAACTAGTTGAAAGTATCGGCCTTATACTTAAAAATTGTCGCAGGTAAGGAATTTCTCTTTTATACGTTCTTCTATATATTCTGCTTTCTATACTTTTGTAACATCTGAATAATGTATATATTTTATATAGGAATATGAAACCAAATAATATGACATTAATAGATTATTTGATTTCCCTTTCTGAAGACGAATCCGCAGAAGTTAGTGAAAAAGCGCACAACATATTGCACACAATAAGTGAAAATTACATGCAAAATCATGATATGAAATCACTGGTTGATTCATTGGAAGACAAGTTTTACAGCTTACTTACGAGACTGCCCACAATTATTAGACGATCAGGTGAGATCTTTCTCTTATTGACTAAAGTTCAAAGTTTCTTATTTTGTATCACTATTAATCGTAATATAATTATTAAACATAAATATGAAAATCAAAACGACGTTTATGTATCTACCTTTATATTTTCCAGATGATAACGAACAATTGGCTTACTTGAATCAATTCGCTGGCTATTTAAGATTATTTGGAAAGCAAAAACTGCCTCATATTATGAGGTCTCAAGCTCATATGCAAAGATTGCTTTTAGCTCTTGTCTACATCATGGTCATAGATTGCAACGATGTGTCTATTCTACAGACAGCAAATGTGAAAGATTTAGATGATCCTGCATATTTTTACGGATCACATTCATGGAGACAGTTTAAGTTTATTAAGAATAACTCGTGTAAAGAGAAACTTGTTACAATATGCAGGCTGCTCGGAGAATTTGGGGATATTAGGATATTAATTGACACTATTCTCGAGCTTATGATGGATGCACCACAACACAGGAAGGAACTGAGTTTGCTGCTTAATTGGGTCTTAGGTAATACATATACCCCTTAGGTAATATATATATTTTTTTCTTTAACGTAGGCAATATGTATATTTTTTCTTTGTTTCAGTTTCTGTCAAAGATTCGTCTTCTTCATATTTATATAAGGAAATCGTAGACTTTTACACAACACAAGAAGTATGGTACTTGCCTACAGAAGTAACTGATGGCACTCCTTTGGTACAGGCACAGAGCAATATAGTGCAATGTTGTCTTTTGACAGAAGGATTAGGCCTTGTAGCACAAAATTTACAACGCGACTATGACAGATATCTTCTCAAAACCTTGTATTTAATTATTGAAAGAGCAGGTGTGTGTTGTTAACAGCGAAAAAGCTCAAATCTTTCTACGAACAAATAAAAATTGCGGATAATTTCAGGCAGTGGAAACGGTTTAATCAGCTATATTGGAGTGCGTACTCTCGAAAATGTCGCGGAAGCGCAACAACATAGGACAATTGGTGATTTACTACGTGCTAACGTAGATTACTTTTCTTATCACATTATAATGAAATTACGCCAAATAGATCGGAATCCTGGCGTACTCGACGTTATTAAAGTTGTTATGAAATATAGCAGATTAGATTTTTTGCCGCACTTGAAAGGAATTGTAGAGGACGTATTCAGACAACTAAGTATTCCTCATCATCAAAAAGATACTTATTCGTTCCTGAAGATATTCTACACGTTTATCATATGCATAAAAACGTTAATAAACTGGGACGATACCAAAGTAACGAAAGTGGAAGATGCGCGAGCTACAAATAATCCTTCGGAGACGATTATTCTTTCTTTGTTAGAGTACTATAATGCAAAGAAGATTGATGAAAAAATTGAGGATGACATTGAAGAGACAGAATCAGACACAAATGTGCCGGATACTGAGTTATTGGAAGAAACAAATGAGGATTACTCAAATCCCAGTGCAGAAGGTAATGAGAATTTATATTTATTTTTATAGACTGTAAAATTTTTCATTATTTATTATATGTTCCAGACAAAGAAGACAAGTTGCCAACTCATATAAGGATAATCATAGACGTTATGAAACGTTGTATACACTTTCTACCTTCGAAGGATGTACAAAAATCGCTGATGGCAATGCAAACGCTTCAAGAGGGTTTACCGATACTAATCGAATGGGAGAATGAACTACTGCCTCTTGTGCATCAGTTGTGGCATCCGCTGACCGACAGATTTAACGATGAAAATGTTCTTGTAATTAACCATGCGTGGCAACTCTTGCACGTACTCGCCAACGTGTCGAATGACTTTATCAGAAGCAGAACTCTACGGTAAGATACCTCGCGCATATCACCGAATAATATATTGTAGAAAAGCGACTAACGCTGAGTGTCATATGTAATTAATCTTTCTCACACACACACAGAGAAGTATTGCCATCTGTATTTAAGTTCCTGACTGAGTCTTCTAAAGAAAGTATCAATAAGAGCTCGGTAAACATTTACAAATTTACACAAACTTATAAATCTCAATACGAGTTGTTATCTACGTTGGGAATAATCGCGCGACTCTTGAAGCTGTGCGAGCACGAGTTATGGCAAATATTAAGTAACACACAATCGTACCTTAGTGCACGTCAACATACCGCATTACAGGTAACATCAAAATAGAAAGAAATAATTGTATAATCTTGCATATGCATAAACGTCTTTGACCACTTGTTACTTGATTGATAGGCGTGCTGTGTGAAATTGTACAAAGATATTGCTGATTATAATGGGGATATTGCATGGGTGAAGTGTCTCAGTATCTGGAATTCAAAAGTTGCACGGATAGTACCTGATGCAACATTTGATATGAAAAATTTGCTGGTATGTTAGCATTTATAATTATGAGATGCGATTTTTGCAGTTTCTATGAATTAAAATTTTGCATTATTTTTCAGATTCCAGATGTTGCTCCGTCAAATGAATATTATAGAAATGTAAATGAAATCATTGTATATATCCAACAGAATGCCCATTATTGAATAAACATATTTAAAACATATATAAAATAATTAAAAAATTGTAATTAAACCCTTAAAAAAAATGTGATAAGTAATAAATACTAAGCCAAAGCTTTTCAAACAAAATGTGCCATTCAGTAACAAAGCGCCTTTATGCTGAAGTAGTATAAAATATTAATCACATAGAAAGTAAATAGATTGTTAGATTTATTACAATTTATAGAATCCATGTGAACTACACTAGGTAGAGAATAATGAAAAAAATTTTGTGACAGAATTTTTATTGGTATATAATTATAACATTTTAAAATTATTTCCACATTTTACAATAACTTACATATAATTATACCTTTTTTTACTATCTACAAGCAATACATTATAAAATAAAAATGTGTAAGGTGTTCTGTGTATGTATGTGTACATGTATACATATATTATATGTATATAGGTATGTTCGATATTTACACATATAATCCATCCAGTTTCAAATTAACTTCAATATGTATATAACGAATTTTGCATTCTTTGCACACGCACACACGCACACGTACCTCAATATAAATTTTATATTTTCCAACATCTCTTATGCGCGATAATAAATCGTTTTTATTTGATTTTAAAATTGAAATTGGAAAAGTCAATTAAATTACTAATTAAATTTCAAAGGAATTTAAACTTCTTGCGACATTTCCCTACTTTGGCGATTGCATAACCACTATTTCAAATAAGAGAAATGCACATATAAATGCAAGTAATTATTATATAAGATCTCTTTTCAACTCATCTTGAAGTATTTTCAATTTTAGAGTTTTTATTTTTAAAGTTATGTGAATAATGGATCAGTGACATAAAGTAAAAGCTGAAGATATATATATGTAACTAAATTTTTCAACTAAGCAGTGACAAAAATTTCGTGTTCTTTTAAAATTACATTTCTTTATATGATATTTCTTGTAAGTCTCATATGGTGTTCTTAGAAAGCTTATCGTAAGAAACTTTGCAAAAAATGTACAAGTATGTAAAATGCATAAATATCTTATACATAATATACCGTTACAAGGAAATATGAATTACAGAGAAAGATATAAGACATATCGTTATTCACAAATTCTAGATTACATTTTGCAATCATGAAAATAAAATTATTAATATTGATTTGCTAATTGATTATCACATATTTAGGCTGTGTTCCAAAATTCATTGCTAGCGCTGAAAATCTATAGTATGCATCACGTGTACTAAAGATTTCCATTACTGTCAGTGAATTTTGGAATACAGCCTTAATATGATAGTTACATTTTTCTTTTGCGAATCGAACAAATATATACTTCCATTCACCATCTATTTAGCATGGTTCAGTATCATATGTATTAATATTTTCACTGTTTAAAATGTATTACGAACATAATTTCATTTATAATTGTCTCTATATATTATCGATTATGGCTTTGATTTATATTGAAAATATACAGATATCGAAAAAAATCGCCTATCTTTTACAGAAATTGCTATACAATGGAGAAACAATTATACTTGAGCATGATATTAGTTACTTTAATATAGTTTAACGATCAATGATCATGGTCCACTCTCGTCGTGCGTTGATCATCACACTTTGAAAGATTCGACTCATTATTACATATGTGCGTTCTGTACCAGATTAACAAAATGAATAAATTTTTATTTAGGATTCAAGATCGAAAGATTTTTTTTAGACAAGGTAATAAAGTATTAGCATTTACCTTGTGTTTTAAAATTAACTATTTATAAAACAGTATATCTTACAAGTTATTTTTAGGAAAAATTCTTGCCTATAGTGAACAGATTCATAAATATTACACAATTCTAGAAAAACAAGGCATCATTTCCACGCTTGCTTTTGAGCTTTTTGGGATGCTAATTTTTTGGTGACGTACGATGAGATCAACAGCGCTGCGAGTACTATCACAATAAGATAATAATCGAAGTCCTCTTTTAGGACGTCGAATGTTTTAGATGGTGCCACTCTTGTGTAAAACAGGTCTGCAAATGTTACAATAATTTTGTGTAAGAAGTCATTTGTAAATAAGCGAGTTTAAAATCAAGTACTTTAATGCGATACTCACCAAGACCATGTACAAAAACTAAACAAGTACTTTCAAGGCCACTAGGACTAGTATAAATACCCATAACCCTAGAAACGCTTTGATTATAATTAATAATAGCATCCATATGGACTGGAATCTCTGGCATGTATGGTATAACTCCTTCTTCTCGCATTTCAGGATTAATAGGTCGTCGTGGATCCACCATCATCCACGGTAATTCTAATATTCCACCATTGGCCAAAGCGACTGTTGGAAATATATTAAAATATCATAATTAAATGTACGACTACCGTTTAATTCATATTTGAACATATCCGGGTAATTAAAATTGGATTTTCCTTTCAGTTTATCGAACCATAATTTTACATACCTATTATATGTTTACTTGTGATACCCTTTTCTGTGATAGTTTCCTGCATATGTTCTATAGATGCCGGAAAAATGAAAGCTTGTCTTTCTACAATTGGCAATTTCGTCGTTGCTAAAGAAGAGAACACTGAAACGTTCAATAATCGTTATAAGTTATTGAATTGACAGTACAAATATTTCGGAAAAAAATAGCCAATGTCCAAAAATTGGCGATAAGAGCTCTAATTGTTTACTTATATCGGAAATTTTAGTTGCAAATAAGAACTATTTATGCCCGACATCCTTTTATAAATATTTTCTAAGATAAAAGTGATTCTATATCTTAAAAAACCCAATATCTTTTTATCTTAAAGTAGCTAATGGAACAACAGACACGACCAATTGACAAAATTTTTTTCTTCCACGATACAGATGTGTATGAACTGAGAGTAGTCTTTACCTGTGGTGTTACTCTGTATCTTTCCTTCGTAGAGTTCCAACGTAGCGATTTCTGTTCTACGTCCCTTCTCATTAAAATAGCTGTATACCAACCAATTTTCCGAGTGCACAATATGGATTGGACTACGTACTCTCTTGTGTGTGATAGAGAAAATCATAGCCCCAGATACTACATCTAGTAGATATAAATTAAGCGTATCTGTAAAATGAGAAAATGTTAAAGCGTATCTTCGATAAATATCGATTTGCACGATGATGGGAAAGGATATACTTACTTTTATGGGCATGTCCGATGCCTTCTGTCACTATGGCCACTAAATTAGGATTGATGTACTTATACAATACTGATCTATCACTCAAGACTCTCCCTTGAGAGTGCACACGTTCTATCGGATTCTTCGCTACAACTTGAGTTATTTTTTGGTTTCTCGGCGACAGCAACAGCTCCCACACTTTGTGAGCGATTAATTCCTGCACCGACCGTTAAAATGATCAGGGTCCATCGATATTGTGAGAATTATACAAATTTGTATATGCTAAATATATATATCCACGTATAACAAACCTGAGTTGTGCTGTACGAAAGAGAGAAGCCGGATAATATTCCTGTCGTTTGATCAGCAGTAAAAAGATACGTATTTTTCCCGAGTGAAGCTGCAACCGCGGTAGCGCTCTCGGGATAAACGTGGACTTTATCCCGTGCGTCAAGAATGAGGATACCACGTAAGAAGTCATCGGTCGCTACATGCAATAACATAGACTGTTTTATTTTGTAGCCAAGTTTCACCAGTCCGTCCAACGACTGTCCGGTAATCGGATTAAAGGTATATATAACACCCTGTCCGGTTTCCTATTGTAACGACCAAGAACAATGTCAGATATGAGATAAATATGAAAACAAAAGTTACCGTGTACATTTACCGTTGAATGTAATACATAAATGTGCAGCTCACCTTGTCTTCTGCTAATAATGCACATTGAGGTGGATGAGGGAAATGCCTGCTGCCCCTCTGCACGTACAAGATCATCGTGTCAGACAGTTTTGTGAAACCGCGGATATTAGGTAGCCTGAGTTGCCAGATAATTTCACCTTTTCTGGTTTCAATACCATACAACTGCAAAACAGTTTAGAGCGTAATGATTTGTAATATAAGATGCCCCCCCCCCCATGATCTACACGGATTCATACCTTCCCGGCGGATGTAACGGCTACGATCATTTTGTGCAAACCAAATTTATCTTGCACCAGATCAATACGCTGATTGGACTGCTGAGGTACTAAATCCAGTATTGTTTGAAAGAATGCTCTGGCTTGGTTAATCTGTGAAGTAATCCTTCGAAGAAACATACTTAGAACGTCCCCTGTTTAAAAGCAACACAGCAAAATTAGAAGGGGATGTGTCCCCGAATGACTATACTATTACAATCTGTGGGTTGGATGATATAGCAGGATATAACAAAAATTAGACGCTGCCTAGGAATTTAATAGCAAACTATATATACTGATTATTAAGCCGTTGGTATTGCGTTATGAAATTTTTCTCAGCAGGTCCAATGACGTATGCGACGATTGTAGAAATCATAAGAAACTTTTCATCATGCATTTTACACAGGTTATCATGTATCAACGAAATTGCTACATTATTTGCGTCAACAACAACTTCATTACATCTGAACCCAACCATATCGAATATCCAATGTGGATATTTTATTTCTTGCAATATAATCATGCAGACAGCAATGTAATAACTGTATTATTTTTAGAGGTATCCTAGATAATCAACACGTATATACGTCTTACATCTTTCAATATTTTTAGGAGCCTATACATCGCAATGTTATACCATGCAAATGTAAGTCTGTAAATAGCGATAAAACAAAGTACTGCATTAAAACCAGCCTTCCTGCTCCACTACTTACATGAACTGTCTACATCAATACCTGCCAGCAGCCATTCACAAAAGAGAGTTAATTAATATAACTTAACAAGTAGGTTGTTATCAGAAATTGAATTGTTGTGTTGTGCCGATAAACAATATGTTGTTTTAATAAGAGTGTTATTAATTAAAACAATAAGCTTCTTCATAGCCTTCAAATAATATTATATGTGACCATTGTAACTGCATACTTAGGAGAGAGTAAGTTATGGCATAATATCTTGGAAGTACGAGTAATAGTGCGTTTCACACATGTGACATATTATAATAATAGTTATTCAATAAAGATATATTATCTTATTTCTGGCATATCCTCTCATTCAGTAGCAAAAAGAACATGTATAAGATTATGCTATATCAACAGAGTTATATAGAAAATATTCAATCAAATTCAATAGTGAGGGATAAAAAGTCCTTTTCAGTTCGATTTATACTACTATAGGTTTTTTTATATTTTATATATGTATATAAATAATTTTACTTACTCTCTTTCTGATCGAATTCCGTTTCGATAGCTTGATCCCTGTCGGACATAGGCAATTCCATAATTTCAACGGCCACAATACTGGCGAGTGCTTCTTCCCTTGCCCATACCAGTTTATTATGTTGCAATAGCGCAATGCTGTGATCTTGCGAGGACAACAAGTGACGGCACGTTATCCCTTTCGTTTGCCGCGGGCAAACGGATGCCATTATGGTTGGTGATTGTATAGAAGCGTGAGTCAAAGTAACTGATAAATCAGGTATAAGTGCGGACGATAACAGATTTGTAGCCGTTATTTCTATTTTCTGGAAGTAAAATAAAAAATTTGTAAAAAAAAAACTGCACTAATAAATCTCACTAGAAATAGCAGAAAACATGTTTTGGTGCTTACTCCATTTTTATATGTTGTTTCCAAAAGTATTTTCTCATTATCAATGGAAACAACATAAAGGGTTGCGTCACCGTCGATATCTCTCTGTATGGGAGTTGGAGAGAACTCTCCGATAACTAAAATTCGCTTTCTTTGGTCATTATCGGCATTAATAGAAATTACAGGTCCTTCCCCGAGTACAGACTCCAGTTTGTATGGCCCTTGGGCGCCAGCCCCGAATATCGTATTTATCGTTACTGATTGTGACTGTGCATTCGTATCGAATAGATGTACTAAGAATACCACAGCCAAAGAACTGTCTCCCTTCAAACACGCCAAGTACGGAGCTGCTAGAACACACCTAAACAAAATTACAGCCATTTTAAATATCGCAATGGATAACACATTAGAAAAGATTATTTATGCAAATAATATCACGGGATAAATAAATTTAACGTACGAATTTAACGTACGGCAAGAAAAGAATGTAAATTTAAAATTACTTACTCTGTCTCTCGACTTATGAACGGCGCAGAAACTCTTCGGGTTTTCAACTTTTCACCGGTCTTGCTGTCATAAGACGTTACCTCCACTCCGCTATTATAAATGGGTAATATATGATGCAGCGTTCCATCTTTGATGTGCCACTTTACATCTTTTATCCTGGAAAACGATAAATTGTATCCGTCAATCATATACGCCAAAAAGAAATATTCAACACATCAAAGCATCTCCATAGCTTTGCAAAATCAATATGTAAGATATTAATTTTCCATTGCAACAAAAAACCTTCAGATATCTATATCTTATTGTGTGTATGCGTGTATATATTACTCGACGTGGCGGTCTGAATGAAAATACAGAGTACTGAGATTTAAGCTAATTTACAACGGCACAGAGTTACGATTAGAGGTGTACAGAACATATATCATTGACTGTGCTTTGAATAAAGATGGAAAGACCTGTCAGCAGAATACAAGCCCAATGTTGTAAACGATATAAACGGAGATGCATGTCTGTAAAAGTAATGGATTATGTTTCACATAAGTCTTCAACGTATCAAGTTCTCAAAGGCTTTTAATACACGACTACATCCCCATTTTATATAATATCCGGAAGCACATTTTATCTGTCTTCTATCAACTTTCATTTATTAAAGATTTAGGAAAAGGTAATGTAGATTATATATTTTTTTTTGTAAAATTATTAAAGCAGACTTTTTGTACGTATAGGGAACGTCGTATATAATTTGTTGCTCCGTACAAACCTGTCGGCGTTTGGCTCGGCTATCGGCCATTCGTTAAGTATATGCCCGGTCGCCAAATCCCAGGCGCGAACGATGGCAGGAACACCTCCGCTCACGGATATCAGATCTCCGTCCGCGACACCTCCCAAGGTTCTGATATGCCCGCCATAACCTTTCTCCAACACTCGCCTCCATAATATTTGGCCTGTTAAAATCGTAAACGTCATTAATACGTTTACTCCGATCTAACAAATCACATTTCTCGGCGTGCAACGATACCTGACGTGGGATAATATTTAATTTATGACATCAACGCGCACGAAAATGTGCTTAATCATTGTAATCATTGTAATCGTCATATTGATAGACGAGAAAAATATAAATGGCAATGAAACGACAAGTAAACGTCAAAGGGGCCGGAAATAAAAGGCGCAACGCGTTCTCCATTAACCGGGAAACGAAATGCGAAAGATAAAAAGACACCGAGAAAGATCGTAAAATACTTATATATTTACCCGACTTCAGATTAAGCGCGGCAATAACGTTCTCCTCGGTGGCGACGATAATCTTCTTCGCCGTGGACACCGTGTCGAAGCTGGCGAATTTGATTTTCCCGACGTAGTTCTGCCTCCTGAAACATACCGCGAATAGGATATTAACTCACCCCCCGGGCGGGGGGTGACGAGCGAACGGATAGCCACGGATAGCGGTCCTCGTGATAACGTTCTCACGGCGCTATCTCTCCCCCCCCGGCCCCCGCCTCTATCACTCTCTGCATTATTTAGAGGTTGCTTCGATCACTTACCAATCGAATTTGCCGACTTGGTCCTCGTAGAGGCACAGGGAGAGATTGAACAGGCTCACCAGCACGATCAGACACTGCAGGATCGGCACGTCGACGAGGAACCGGTTGAGGTTCCCACGGAAGGACCACGCGCCCGGGGCCATGGCGATGACGAGCGCTCCGGCGCTCCGGGCTTACTCCGGCAGGCGCGCGAGAGGTTATCCGCGACGCAGAGCTTGCCCCCTTCACACACGGTCGCCTCTACGCCCCACTGCGCCCTAACGCTGTCTCGGCCACCTAGCTAACCTCCCTTATGCGCTTATGTATGTATGTATGTACATACGCGTGTACGTGAACCACCGACCGACGTGCTATAGCAGCTATAGCATCAACAGCATGGAGATCAATGGAGACCGAGATGACGACTGACGACCAGACGACGACGTCGCATGCACACCTTTGCAGACCATTTGCACTGTTTTGCACCCCGCGCCGGTCACCCCTCGGCTCGCCCTGCCTCGTTCGACGTTTCACGAGCTCTCCCCCTTCCCCTCTATGCACGTACTCGCGCGACAGACGGAGACGGACAGAGCCAGGCGGACGCTGTCTTCATCTGACACGTGGTCGATCCAGGATTGACCCGTGACGCTGGAGTGCCCCGTGCCATTACGATTCCACGTGCACATGTATGTATGTACATACATACACACACGCGTGTAGGTAGTCTTCTAATTTGTGACAAGGGTGAGCTCGTGGAAAATTAAGTAACAATAATTTTTATAATTTTTTATTTTGAACCCAGTTAAGGTTCAGGGTCGCGGTTCAGAAAAATGAAAATTGCTTGACTCTTCATGGATTCGAAATTATTATGTATTTGATAGGAATAACTGAAAATATTTCTGATGATTCGAAAAAGTATGTGTAAAGTTGGAAATTATAGAAACTTTTATCTCGCAGGAAACTTAATGAAAAAAAAAAGAAAAATAAATTAAAAGGATATAGAACTAAAGTTACGTATCTCCCTTCTCCTCTTTGCAATCGTAATAATTGAAAATATAGATAAAATACACACATTGATAATTTATATACGACTAAATAAATGAAAACGATCATACTTCTAATAATATTTTCAGACATTATTGCTATTAAAATATTCTCCAACTTTTATTACATATAGAAGTAAGCTTTATAAAATAAAAAGTTAATAAAACTTCAAAAAGAGAACCGATTGAAGGATCAGAAGAACAAGACGAAATATAAGTAGCTAACAGTGTTATAAACTACACTATCTCGTGATGTTTTTATTTTATCGTTTATTTGAAAAAGTCGTTTTCAAAATACATGTAAATAAAAAATAAATGCTTCCTAGTGCCATATAGAATATGCCTTTATGCAGTCATGTTACTCACATTGCAATTGTCATTGTTAATGAATAATTCTTCCACAAGGAAAAAACGAGATAATCGAAATTATAATTTCGAGGCCACTATTTGTTACCGATTATCAGATCGACAGCAAAAGAGTGCATTAAAAGCATAGAAAGTAACATCGGTTATAGAAACGTACGCCCTTTTGTAAAGTAAATTTACAAAATTAATATGAGGTATCTCATTGTTGTAAATTTATAAATCGTTGTAGAATTAAAAAATTTGTAAAAGCGATGGGAGCGCTCTCTTGTGCCGTCCTGTTAGTATATAAATAACGAATTCTGTTATATATACGAAAATAGACAAATGTTTATAAATTACTCATAATTAAAGTTACATATCCTAGCACATATACATATATTTGTAATTTCTACAGAATTTCTACTCCCACATCGTTTGGTTTTTCCTTGCATTCTATCTAAATTGACAGTATTAAGTTGCATCTTTACTTTCATATCTTTTATACCTTTTCTTTCTGTCCTCATATTTCCCGTTTCGCCCATTTACACGCTAAATTGTCCCGTTTAAGGATTATATTTTGTTTACATGCAATCTGTTGTGAGAGCATTATTCACGTACACAAGTAAAAGTTAGAAGCAGATCCGTGATGACTAGATTATCTTTACATTTCATACACTCATTCTTTTTATACTTATGTGCAATAGTCCATAATAAAAAACATAGATGTTATCTTAAATTGTAATATATAACTTTGGTTCATAGCAATCCCTCGATAATTTCGTTAAAAAGAAGAAAGATGAGAAAGTAATTCGCATCCTATGATCTCCGTTAAATGCAAAAGTTGTAAGTAGTGTAATTTAAATTACATCATGCCCAAATTAAAGCTCATCGTTGGAAAATACAGGCATCATACACATTGTAATGCACCCATCCTGTTAGTATAGTGTTATCGTTATTGTTTTAATATATTAATTCTGCAATAAAATTTGTTCAATTTCAGAAATTATGAATGATATTGAACGCCTTGTACAAAAAATTCATATAAAATCGGAATAAAATTGACAAATATTGCATCGCTGTTGATAAATTTATTTTACAACATGAAGGAACAAACGTGCCTGTAGTAAGTACCTGGAAATTTGTAAGATAAGTGCACTACTTACAAAAAATGCGCGATCTATGCATTACATTATAATACATAATCGTAGTATATTATTATGCTTAACTAATGCATTATTATACATATGCAGGGGTATACATATACATATCAAAAGTTTAAAATATCTTAAATTCCAATAAACGAAGATAAAAGATGCTAGACTTGGTCATTTAAGACATACATTTTTAATTTAGGAAACATTCTAGCAATTTATTTTCGTCATTTTTGAAAATAGACAAACATATATTATCGCTAAATAAATATATCCACATAATTATTTAGCGATTATTATATTTTATTTCAAACCATGTGTCACACAAATCAAACAAAAGACAGGCATTAACTGCAGCATTTTAATTAATCAAGTGATTCCGTGATAAGACCTATTGGCGCACAAAGATTTCAGGAGTAAGAAAAACCCAAAATTACACCTTAAAAGATAGATTCGATGAAAATTTAGAGTACGCTTCTATGCTACATTATGTACACCTAGTAAGCTGTAACATGCCTTTTTGTTTGCTCCTTATAGCATTTTCAGACTAGAACAGCCAAAACGATCATTGATCGCTAAGCTTTCTTATGCAACCGTAAAATTCGTGTTTGTAAACTAATTAATATTAATGACGAAGATTATAAAAGCAAAGTTTATGATTTTTATTGTTTCAAAATTGCTTATCTTCTTTTAAAAATAAGATGTGAAATTATTTCTGCAAATAATTATCCATTCTCAACCACTCTAGTATTAAATGTTTTTCTCTCGATTCAATTTTGATATATTTTAAATTATTTGGGAGTTTGTTTCAAATATAAAGTTCAATTTGAACATGGTATTTAATGCCTGTTTTACAAATGAAAAGCATATGGCACAAAGGTCCTATCTTTTCTATCCTAAGCTTTCGAATAAAATAAAAAAAAAATAATAATAATAATAAAAAACGTGACCACAAGAATAATATCTATTTCATCGATTTATCATTGAGTTTTTAGAGAGCACATGTAATATCTGTATTCACAAAACTTGACTGTCTTTAGCTAAACATAAATAGAAAAATCTGTTTAAAAAAAGTACAATCGCAATTATGATCGTTTAATAAGATAATGAATTAGAAACAATGATATGGGCTTAACTTTATAGCAATACTTATTTGTACAAGATATCTATCTTTCTAAACCATCGCACTAGTTTTCCCGTAAATTTTTATGTAAACAATTTTCGTACAAATAAATGGAAGAGAGTGAGATATACTATAGTATTTAAGAAAATACATTGTGCTATATTTATATATTTCAATTTAGGTGGACTTTGCACTGCTGTGTAATTGTTATCAGCGTTTTATGTTATCATCAACTGCTAGCTACACTTCTTTTGATTATTAATTTTGTAAAGAATATTCACGTGAATTCGAATAATGTTAATAAGTGAAATTGCACAATTGCAAAAACTTGTGCAACATTGAAACCCCGTTACAAGCACAAACGAAAAACATTACGTTATAAATAGAAAACTATATTAAAAATCCTGCAGTACACGTATAAAATCATACTACAATATTCTCCGTTTATAATTAATCAAATAAATATTAATGCACAATATTAATTCTTTCGACACACAGACATGTTGCAATTCTAAATAACAAATGTCTCATTATCAAATTTAATTTGCGTAATTATTACGTAAAGTCGATTTTTCTTCTCTAGTATTAAGAATACTATGAAATTTTCGTGTTGTGTTATTTTATGGCAGTATTCTGTAACCATACTATACATTTCTTATCGGAAGTATTGATAAAAATAAAAATCTCAAATGCCCCAAAGAATGGAAAGACAAACGTGCTACTTCTGTCTAAAGAACCATTATACACACCAATTTCTCTGGCTATATCTTTTAAAAATTTCCGTATTTGTTAGTAAAAAATATATATATATTGTCTAGAACCGATTGTGATTAAGAGTGCTTGTAAAATTCATTTGATTTTTCGTTGCTATGGCACTGTATGTTTAAATAATTCTATGATGCCAGCTTTACATCTCGTAAAACACTTCAGCATGTGATTGTTATGATTAGCTATCGCGTTGTATGTACTAAAATCAATGTTCCTACTATTGTAAATGTAAAAAAGTCGAAAATCTGGCAGCCCTGATAAGTAAAGCTTCGGGTTCACTTAATGCTTTTAATCATCACAGCACATTTACACTGTATTATCGATTTGCAGGACTGCAATATTAATTAACGGAGATTTCTCTTGTAGAATACGAAAAAAATTTTCATGAGCCGTTTTCCACTAAACTGACTAAATTGACTGCGCATTACTATGGTCAAATATCTTTTTATCATTATGCAAATATATGTATAAATGCAAGTTTAAGGAAAGACACCTGCAAGCTTGTAACTCGTAAACTTCCTCCTGCAAATGCTAAATATTTATTCTATCCTTTTATCTTCTTACTTTCTCGTTGTCTAAACTTTCTGGTCGTGAATCAACATCACGACTCGCATTGAGACCAGGAGGTTTTTAAGTTGTACTCTTTCCGTAATATGGTATAATTCTATAGCTGCCAGAGAATAATTCGTTAAAATGCATGTACTCTATTCCATCTTCTCTTTAAACCATTCGTATTATTTCTTTGCGCGATCAAATTCATTTTGATCCGTTGCTTTATATACGTGTATACCTATATGATTCCCTTCAATTCCTTTCGTCGTTTATAACACAATGCACCTTCTTTGTCGACGTTTTTGCGGCTCAGGTCTTAAAACGGCGCGCACCGCCTCGTCGAATACCTGCTTCAATCCACGTTGCGTCAGAGCGGAGCACTCCATATATTTTACCGCGCGAATCTGTAACAAACATTGGCGCTTTGCTGTACACCAAACTAGTCTAAATTATATATAAAATAGGAAACAATTAAATTTTACGTACCTTGTTTGCCAGCTTTTGTCCCTGTTCACGCTTAATAGCACTAAGGCCCTGTTCAGCTAAGGCAGTAAGCGTTTCACGGTCATCTCGTAAGTCTATTTTAGTTCCGACGAGTATCATTGGTGCATCTGGGCAGTGATGTTTTATTTCAGGGTACCATTTACTGGTGACATTTTCGAATGACGAAGGGCTCGTTACTGAGAAACAAATGAGAAACACATCCGTCTGAGGATAGGAGAGAGGACGCAATCTGTCGTAGTCTTCCTGCCCCGCCGTGTCCCACAGCCCTAGACTAACCGGAATTCCGTCGACCACCATTGGCGCGGAATAGTTGTCAAACCTAGGCAAAACATTACAGACTTAGCACATGTTCGGTGTCATAATTTTCAATTTGTTCATCACTATTCATTGAGTATCCCACTTTAAATCTCCGTTAAAGTAAGAAAAATAAAAAGGAAAGAGGTTTCATTTGCTGCTTATATTTTCATTTTCTCGTTTATATCGGCTTAACTATGTATATCTCAACTGTGACAAGCTATTATGAACCAATGAAAATATTGCCGAGTGAGATAGTACCCAACAAAAATAGATTTGTGAGAATCTAAAGGACAGGAAGTAACAAAAAGATGACTGGGAATGAATTACTTCCTGTACATAGCAGTTAGGTATCTCATACGCTGCTACTATTATTAGCCACTCCGTTTGATTGGTCTAAGAAAGAGAAACTAAGGCAAAAACCATGCTGGCAAAGGTATCCCTTTAACCGGCTACAGCCCCTAAGGAGGGCAAGAGAGCCCTCGACAGAGGAAGAGCAGACGTACGCAATCTCGACAACATAAGAGACATACTTACACGGTAGGTACATACTCCCCGGGAAAACTGTCTGTCGTGTACGATATCAACATGCAGGTCTTTCCTACCGTCCCATCTCCTACCACTACACATTTTATCGGTCTACCTGAGCTCATGATTTATTATCTACAAAAAAAGACACATATAAACATCATTAGCGTCTCGCTCTACCAGTCTAACAGTTCAACAATATTCAATCTATTATGTTCAGTTATCTTGCTAAGTCTTGAAACGCAATATAACAAATGTTACGCCAGATATATTATTAACGAAACGAGAAATATCAGTAGCGATTCTAGTCGGCGACTCTCAGGACGACATGATTCACAATTGAAAATATAACAAACATAATAGACGTATTCACAATTAATACACACGCGGTACACTCAATCGGGAAGTCCCCCGTCTTGAAATTTACATAATCTATACTCAATGAGGACGAGGGTGGACGACGATCGCGAAATCTCAGAAAATCCCATAAAGCATAAAATTTCGCGTCAGGAACCGCCCGCGACGTTTGCGAGTTCGCGGAAGCGGTTCTCGCCTTCCCAGATCTCGCGGTCTCTCGTCTCGCGCCGCAAGATATCCCGCTTCACCGCGCTCGTTCTTCCCGAAAAGGGCTCGCCCTAGGGCCGCGCCGTCGCTTGCCGTCGCTCGCGCGCGGCAAGTAAACAAGTACTCGGCCGGCCGAGAGACGAGGGGAAAATCGTCCGCCGCCGCACTCACCGTGGCGCGCGAGGGAGGGGAGGGTGGTTTCCGCTTGAAACCGCTGTGAAAAAATCGCCGTGCGCGACGACGAACTGCGGGGGGCTGCTGCTGCGAGCTCGCGGGTGTGCGCGCGCGCGCGTGTACCGTGCGCCGCGCCGTGTCTCGTGCTCTCTGGGCGACTCCGGCGTGTTTTTGTGTGTCGCTGCGTCTCAAAAAATCACAAAAGCGGCTGCCATGACAGTGCGCCGCGCGATTTTCGGGGGACTGAACGGGACGGGGGCCTGGCCCGCCTGGCTGACTCCGCTAGTCCGCTCGCTCCGCTGACTGGCGCACCGCTCGCTCGCGCCCGGTGACAGATGTTCGGCGGTCGTCTCGCGCACCCGTCACCCGCCACCCGCCGCCCTTCCACTGCCCCTCCTTTCCGCGAAACTTATTGTTCGGGGAGAAGTGACAGACACCCCGCTGACCCCGCGACCCTGTCCCGCCTCGCGGAAGGTTAAAAACCCGTCCGGAGTTTCAGAGTCCAAAACGGCCCAGAGAAGGGCCGTGTCCCCGTCGAGGGCGCGGACCAATCGCGCGCGTGCCAGTGCGAAGGACGCACGGAAGGGTCGCGGCCAATGATCGGCGTTCGATAAGTACGATAAGGGACGATTACGCGACATCGCTTCGAACTCGTGTTCGCCGAGGTTTTCGTTCGCTCTCGTACGAATCGCTGGAAATCGGTTTGTTCCCCGTTTGCCCCACGTCTCTTCCTCCTTCCTCCTTGTTGCGACAATTCTCGTTTCTCGAATTTTTTGTCTTTGCATCGCACAAAGCGGAATCGAGCGCATTTTTGTGAAAATTGAAGGTGGGCGGCCTGAAGTAAACATTTACACCTTTTTCCTCTTCTCTCTACGCGTAATTTATATATAAGAAGAGAGAGACCATAGCACAGCAGGGCCACAGCTGTAAAGATCAGACCTAAGGAGTTAAGGAGCGTCCAAGTGGAAAAGTATGATTACACTGAGATAAAGGGAATAGAGAAAAACGAAACCCAATAATAAACTGATGTTGAGCTTCTTGAAGAATAAACATTTAAATAAGAAATTGTGAGAGCGTCCAGTTTAGAGAGGAACACCTGTCTTGTCGATTCACAGACGAATCATAGATATTCTAAGGGTATATTTTTCTCTGAGGCATTGTTGATTACAAATTGAAGGGATCATGAGTGTGCCGGACGTTGTTTATCTCATTTCTTCAAGAAATAACGCTTTTATATGGAACGCCGATGGTAAATAGTATTATATCGGTGTATATAATTATCTGATATAACTTACATTTAATTTGATTCCGTTTTGTTTTATCACAGATTGGCTTAGGCTTCGACGGGATCACAGAATAATCGGCGAATTAGTGGGCTCCTTCTCAAAATCAACTAGACAAGAGGTATTTTTAGGTCTCCCATTGCTTTTGCTGCCAGAAGAGATCACTCTGTTGCTCGAAAAGAAAATCGCTTGCCTCGTGGAGTGTACAAGTCTAAAGGCACGGCCGGATGAATCGTTAAGCCGAAAATTTCAGGAGTATAGAGACAAGCTGTTCTTGGAGCAAGCGGACTGTTTGAAAGACAACAGAAAGAGACAAGTAGTTATCTATGTATATCCATATTTATGCTAAAAGGAATATGAGGATTTTGTAATAGAGTGGCAAATGATGAATCTTTCCTCAGCTTACCTCAATGATGGACAAAATTGTAGAAGGAAAGAAGCGCAAGATGTTAGGCTTGCATACAAGCAAAAAGAACATGAAGAAGCCATTGGATAAGAAGACGCAGGAAGCCATGGATAATATTGAAATTGATCCTAAAAATCTGCTTGAAGAGGAACTGGCTAAATTGCCTAAGCTGAGCAAAAACGAGGCACTTGTTCAAATACATACAGGTACAGGCGAAAAATTGGTGATTTAAACATACGTTTGATCGAGTAACCTGATCATTTACTTGTACATTAGCTTATCCATGGTCTGGCAGAGATGACGTAAAAACAGTGGAATGGAAATATCCACTGACATCCGATCAGCAACTTAAATACAAGGTGTACAAAGATCTTTGGGAGAGACAATATTATATCACCAGCGGGGAAAAATTCGGCGGCGACTTTCTGGTGTATCCAGGTACAATCTGTTTCTCTTTAGACGATTGTAATTATATCTCTTTACATAACTTTGACCTGCAAACTCTAATTGTGGCATGCTGCATGACAAATCTCTCTGCTTGCAGGTGATCCGATAATGTTCCACTCACAATACTTAGTACAGTGTAAACGCAAGGACGAAGATATACCTATTACGGAAATTGTGGCTCAGTGCAGACTCGGTTGTCACGTTAGAAAGACATTAGTGTTTGCTACGTATCACGAAGAAGAAGATAAAGTGAAGTATCAATCTCTTCAGTGGACGGAATGTAGTGTATTAGAAGACAGCTGATGTAACAAAGAATTATTCTATTTAAAAGATGTTTATTTATATTTTTGAATGTTCTCTTTTTCAAGTCGTTCTATTTTTTTACAGACGTCTCTACATGTTATGCGCGTATCGTAATTTTATGTCGCAGGTGGAAATTTAATTCTGATCATACTTCAACTTGGAATCGTGTATTATAAATTAATAGTAGAGATTAGAATGGTCAATTTTATGCAATATCCAGATATACAGTCAACGATATATTTACTAAACATTGGGATTTTTGAGACGGTCAAATTTTTACCGTCTCCTGTACACTTATATTTTGTCTATCAATTTGAATTGATTGTGTTGAGAAGTAGGGATAATATTAAAGTGTTTCTTATATATAACTTGATTTTCACGGCCAGTATAGTTTTGTTTGATCCAAGAGCGCTGCCAGTCGGGATCGATTTTCTCGCAGGTCACTATCACTTTGCCTGATTCGATGGCAAATAAAGATCCGTCTCGTGCAAAACCAACCTATGTAACCAGAAAAAAAAAATACGATACATAGAACTTGTAGCGATTAAAAGCATGATAAATTAGCACGCTTACATTAAGACCCGGATGGAATCGGGTTGTCCGCTGTTTAACTAATATCATGCCCGCGTGTACGGTACCGCCGTCCTGTATTTTCCATCCTCTGTGTTTTGGTCTGGGATGGCCACCCTTGTTACTGGTGCTAGTACTGGCTTTCTTTGAAGCGTGCCTCACGCACGTTTTCGCTAAATGAGAGAAATAATTTTTATTAATCACAATGCATAGATAAAAAACAAAAATGTTAGCAAGACGTCAATAGTTTGTCAATGGATTCAATATAATGTTGCAGCAGATTGCCATCAACTAAGCTCATTAAGATTCTATGGAAGCAGTCTACTGACAGAATCTGACAGCAGATTGCCAGTAAAAATCGAGCAGAATCGATCATTTCGTAACCATTTGAACAATATATTTCATTTAAAAAATAGCAGATTCTGTTTGACTTTTAGTCAAGATGCCGTCACAGTTTGCTAGCAGATTCCGTCAACAAAATTTGTAACGAACACTTTGTAAAATTTGCTTTCAACATGATTTATCTGTACATATCCAATATATATATATATATATATATTAATAAAATAATATATCAGCATACAAACCTATGTTATTAATATTGCAGGGTACTAGAGTTTGCCGGGCGTTTTGTAACGCCAGAGAGACCAATGGTGACAAGTGTGCCATCTGAAAAAGGTCTTGCGTTTACATCTTTTGAAGATAACGTCCAGATTTATTTATAATAACGTTATATCATTATCGCCTTACATTTATATATTATATTAGGGCTTACTAACCTCCAAATCGTCCCCACAGCCCACGGAGCAAAAAGTCAAACTCAGAGACGCCAATGTGGAAAAATAATTTCTCCGCGTTGCCACGTGTATTACGTCACAACCGCGCCAATGCGTCGTGACGTGCGTAGCCAATCGGTTTCGTCGGCTCGCTGCTCCACATGTGGATGATGTGGATCACCTTCTCCCTCTTCCCTCAGGTGTGAACCACCCATATGTTGTTTCCCCACCTCCGTGTCGTCCGTGAAATATCTCAAAATATCTCCAAGGGGCGACTTCTTCCACGCGGTTATTGTCAATATTGTCATTACTGTCATAGTGTGGACTGGTGCGAACACTCGAGGTCATCTGGATGAAATTCTCGTAGTGCAGTGGTTAGTATCCCCGCCTGTCACGTGGGAGACACCGAGGTTCGATTCGCTACCGGTGAGGAATTTTTTTGGTTATTAACCGTGACCGTCTGAAGTTTTAGGAGCCGATCCTACCTAGAAGAAGATTCAAAGGGATTCAAAGTTCCGATAGCTTGGCGGAGCACAATCCATCGAAAAATGACAACGAACGCGGAGGATCTGCAAAAGCTGGAGGAGGAGGCGGTCGCCAGGGGCACCAAGTACGTTGCGAACCTTCTGCAGCGGCCGGGTCAGCTGGAGAAGATCGACATGTATAAGCGTAGGATCGGCCGGAAGAAGGCGTCGGTCGAGACCATGCTGAAGACCGCGATGCAGAGCCAGCTGGACGGGGTCAGGGTCGGCTTCGAGCAGCTGCAGAGCTCCCTGGAGAGCATCGCCACCATCAAGGACGACCTAGACCACATTAACCAGCTGTTCAGCTCGGTCCTGAAGCTCAGCTCCCGGCTGCAGGCGGTGCAGGAGGAGAACATGCGTCACTCCCAGTACGTCATCGCCAAGGAGAACCTGAAGCACATATTCACCGTTCCCGAGAGCGTGGAGAAGACGAAGCAGTGGATAAACGAGGGTAAGCTGCTGCACGCGCATCAGAGCCTGATGGATCTCGAGACGTCCAGGGACGAGTTGCTGTACGAGCTTCACAAACTGCCAAATCAGTCGACGGCGGACACGGTTATGCTGAAGGCTTACTTCGAGGACGTGGAGATGCTCTCGCAACTCATGGAGAAGCAGATAAGGCTGGTGCTGAGTCGAACTTTGAACACAGTCAGGAAGGAGCCCACCGTCATAGTGACGCCCCTGAGAATTATTGAGAGAGAGGAGAAAGCGGATCAGTTCGCCATTCAGAGGCACAAGCAGAGTGGATTTATGGCGCCGGGCAGGCCCAAGAGGTGGAAGGAGATGGCGATGAAGGTGCTGGAAAAGTCGGTCGCCAACAGAATCGAGGGGACTCAGGTGGACGAGAGGGCGGACAACAAAATGTGGCTGGTGAGATATCTGGAACTCACCAGGCTCCTGATCCTCGAGGACCTGAGGGTGGTGAAGACTCTGTGCGGACCCTGCTTTCCACCCTGGTACGACATAGTGAGAACTTTCGTCAAGATGTACCACACGAGTCTGTCCCAGCATCTGAAGGACATAATCGCCGGTGGACTGGAGGGAAACGAATACGTTTCTCTGCTGGCGTGGATTATGAACACTTATACCGGGCCAGATTTGATGAAGCATCCCGAGTTGAACATCGACACGTCCGATATCGGGCCGCTGCTCAGTCCCGAGATGATAAACGACCTTCAGGAGAAGTACCTGCGGAACATGTGTCAGAATTATGAGGACTGGATGAGAAAGACGCTGGAGACGGAGAAGCTCGATTGGCGAAGCGGCGTCCTGCCCGAGAGCAGCACCCAGGAGCTGTATTATCACACCGCGGCGCCGGTCATCATATTCCAAATGATCGATCAGAATCTTCAGGTGGCGAAGACCATCAGTGCCGACCTGACGGCGCAGGCCCTGGTTCTGTGCATCGAGCAGGTCATCAAGTACGGATCTATGTACAGACAAGCGATACTGGAGTTCAAGACGAAGCATTTCGAGGACAGGAGCCAGGTACCTTACTTCACTCATCACATGATCACGATAGTCAACAATTGTGTACAGTTCACCGAGTTGGCGCAGCAGATGAAGCAGCTTTACTGGGTGCCCAACACCACCGGCGACGGCACGGTGAAATTCGAGAGCCTCCTGGCGAACTATCAGCATCTGCGAAACGAGGCCGCCGCGATTCTGCTGCAGGAATCCTTCCTCGATCTGGAGCTGCACTTCCAGGATCTGATCACGCCCAAGTGGCTGTCGTCGCCCATCCCGGTGGAGACCATCTGCGTCACCCTGGAGGATTACTTTCAGGATTACAATCACCTGAGCCCGAAGAACTTCGAGTACGTCATCACCGAGGCGCAGAATCTCATCGCGAAGCGTTACATATCCGCGATGCTGCAACGGAAGATATCACTCAAGACCTACGACGAGTGCCTGACGTGCACGTCCAAGATAATGACGGAGGCGGACAAGCTGAAGAACTTCTTCGACAGGATCGCGCCGAAGGTCGGCAACTTCAATTCCCCGTTCGAGATAATAAAACGTCTCGCCGAGGTGCTGAGGTGCGAGGACGCGGAGATCCTCTCACTCGATCTGCACTCGTTGGTCGAGAAGTATCCCGACATGACCGAGGACCACCTGATCAGACTGCTCGGCCTGAGGGGCGACATATCGCGGGCGGAGGCCCGAGGCAAGGTCTCGTACATCATGGAGGCCCAACGAAATCGGAAACCCGTGCAATCCATGGCGAACAGCATATTCAAGCAGATAGTTATACAGGACAGCTTCCTCGGCTGGAAGCCTTGAGACTGGAAAAAGAATTTCTACGAGGGAAAGATATGGAACACAAACGGCTTCGCTATGTAGCCACCACACTACAGTATCCATATCAAATGTTTCTTTCTTTTTTTAGTACAGCGGCGAGAGATGTAACATACTTGTACAAATCTGCTGACGTTTGATGTAATTTATATGTATATAGTTGATTCTGCAATTTACACGTATCGAAGAACCACGGACTTATATGTATGTACTCAGAACTTTATTTATATACAACGTGTAAAAATTTATAGAAAGCATCAGTGAAAACTGATCGAAACCGATTGAGATTATATTATAGTATATTCATAGGTATTGTGTGTGTGTATATATATGTGATAATATATACCAGATACATGAAATGCCTTTAAATTAATTAAAAGATACTTTAACTGAATCTGAATCTCCTCTTCTCTTAACCTAAAACCGTCATTCATTTTATTCCTGCAATGCTAAATAAGATCGCGTGTTGTTTATAATTATTAACATATAAAGTCATTTATAATTTCTCTTTCGTTTAGCAACATGCAGTAAATTATTAGAGAAGTTTAAGAAGCTTCTAAGAAGTTTTGAAGGATCAAGCTGATAGTAAGACATGTGATATACATGAAGGAATTTTATTTGTGTGTGTATGTGCATACACACGACACGTGCTTGTAGGCCATGATAAGCTTGTAGATGCAGAATATAAAGAAATTTCAACCGTCAAAGGCAAATCGAGCAACCGGCTTTATTGGCTCTATCGACAGCTACCGATAAATTTCTGCATTTACGATAGCACCTTAGGTGAGTGTAAGCTCGAAGGAAATAAGAATGATTGTGTAATAAACCGTCACACGAGGTCACCTTATTGTCTTCATACAGATAATTAAAATGTCAACGATAAACAGGCGAATCCGTCATAACCTCAAAAATCCTCATGATCAATTTGTCAGAGAAATCAAATTGCCAATCTTTTTTCAGTCGCGGAGGCACCGTACCATCTTGCATATTGTTTGTCTAAATATTTGACAAGAAGTATGCGCCTGATAACATTCCTAGGGTTGCTCATTTGCACGGGAGCGAGGCATGTTGATGTGGACCCGCTGAAAACAATTGTATGGGGTCCAGGATTGAAACCAGCAGAAGTTACCATGCGCGCCAGATATTTCTTTTTGCAGCTCGTGGATTCGCACGGAAGAAAGTTAGTATCAGGCAATTATACATGAAGCAGTAACAAGTGCATAAGAATACATTGACACTAGAACCAGCATTATTTTGCTACATGTAGACATCCTACAGAACTTTAAAATTTAAAGTTTAATGGAAAATAAATTGGCATATACTTACAATCATTTTTTTCTTGACAAGAGTTAACATAAATTCTAACAAAAAAAAACCTTAATAATTTCTGTAATTTAAAATAAGAAACTTGAAACCCGTAATTTTGGCAGAGTTGATTGTTCTAATGAATCTAATGTTAAAGATTTAGGGACAACGATCCGAATGGTACTTATTACAATAATAAAAATCTAGAGAAGGAATTTCATACAACATTCTAAAATTTACAGTTGCGTAATAAAAGATGGAGTAATTTCAGTTACAAGCATTTTTGAGAACAAATTATAAAACGATCTGCAATTAGTATTTCTTCTATCAGTTATCTGATCCATATAATGTTATATTATTGTTTCTAGTTTGACAAAATCTCCCGGTGAGAATATAATCGCTGGGCAGGTATACGGGGAATCTCTCAAAGGCGTATCATGCCACGTATGGACTCAAATGTTTGACTGTAAAGATGGAAGTTTTATTATGCGCTACAAAGTTTTCAATACCTGCTTCAATGTTAAGATTAAAGTAAAAATCAAGGGAAAAGATTTGCCAATGCCTCATTCGAAGATCAAAGGTATATGTGACCGTTTTTCTTACGCAAAACCTTTTAGAATCTAACAAAAAACTGTGTCTCTAGGTCCTGTCTACGAAGAAGAATGTTACTGCCCGAATCCATCAATCATTAACTGGCTAGATCATTATGAGTGTCAAGAAAATTACACTCAAATACATCGTGATCTCTCACAATTCTCAAATATTAACTTTGACGAAGTGCGTGAAAGCATTATTAAAAGATACGATCGACCGAGCAGTGTCAGCATTTGTCATTACGTATTGAAATCTAACAGAGTAAGTATTATATTATATTCATCGGTTCATAATTTGTGTTTATTTATCAATGTTGATTTAAACTAGATTAAACTAGGTTTACAGGCAATGTTACGGTCAACATGTTGGCTTCAAAATATTTATGGATGCTATATTGTTGTCGCTTGCACGCAAAGTGACGCTGCCGGATATTGAATTCTTCGCGAATTTGGGCGACTGGCCACTTGTTCCCGATTCAGGCCCGCTTCACCCTATTTTTTCATGGTGCGGATCTGAAAGTACGAAAGATATTGTTATGCCTACGTATGATATCACAGAATCATCTCTGGAAGCGATGGGAAGGTATAACGTGCCTCGATAATGCTAATAATCTATAAGCTGTCGTTTTATTCGCAATATGATATGCCTGAAAAAAAAACAGGGTAATGTTAGACACACTCTCCGTACAAGGTAATGGACTGCCATGGGAAAACAAGACTGAGCAATTGTTTTGGCGTGGACGCGATTCCAGGAGGGAACGCCTTGACTTAGTAGATATTTCAAGAAAGCATCTGGAGCTCTTCAATGTCTCCATTACTAATTTCTTCTTCTTTAGAGATGAAATAGATAAATATGGGCCTACGCAAAATTATGTATCATTTTTTAAGTTTTTCGAGGTAAATATAAAAGCCGTACTTTCCCTAGTAACAAATAAAGCTGGTATTAAATCAAATTTGACGCATATTCTATATTATTGAATTTTTTTTCGTTTTTCAAGATACATATTAATTTGGAATTGTATACAAGTATTAAAAACACGACAATACGTAATTTTGTTTATGTTAGGGAAAAGAATAAAAAAAATCAGATATGTATTCACATTAGCACTTAATTTTTTTTATAGTACAAATATCAATTGAATATTGATGGCACAGTAGCAGCCTATCGATTCCCGTATTTACTTTCTGGAGATTCTTTGGTATTTAAGCAAGAATCCAAGTATTATGAATTTTTTTACAAAGCTCTTACACCCGGATTACATTATGTGCCCGTGAAAAGCGATCTGTCGAATCTCGTTGAAAAGATCATGTGGGCAAAGGAGCATGACGAGGACGGATTAAAAATTGCTAAATCTGCCAGACAGTTCGTCAGGGATAATTTATTACCACGTGATATATTATGTTTCTATACAGTTTTATTTCATGTATGGGAAAAAAAGTTCTATTTTATATATTTTTCTTGGGTATATAGCCTTGTCAAATAATATACAATTTTTATATTTCAGGAATGGAGTAAACGCTTAAAGAGTAAAGTTGAAATACTAAATAACATGGAAGAAGTACCACAACCTAGTCATTCTTGTCAATGTCATTCTAGGAATTCAAACCTTAGAGATGAATTGTAATTTTCAACATCTTTTTCAACATTTTTCTATGATTTATTTATATAATGAAGTTTTAACAGATTCACGTTGTCATACAGTTATCGTCTATCATGTGTGCACATTTGTTTACTAACATTTCATACCTAATGTCTAATGTCAAAAATAAAAGGAAACATGACCTCGAAAAACAGAGAGATGGTTGCCTAATATTTAATAAATCTTCTCTTTTACAATGCTTGTACAACCTGTTCGCTATTTTTATATATTTAATAATTTTTTCAATTTAATCTAAAATCATGTCGCGAGAACTTGAGTAAGATACATCATTTGTACAATTATCAACATTTTCTTCGAAAAATATTTATGGGATAAATACAAGGCGTGGCAAGATTTACGATATTCTCTCTTCAATTGTACCGCGAATTCTACTGCAAATAATATTCAATGTGGAAAATTTACATTCATATTCATATATTATGAAATTAAATTTCCTTATATCAATTAATAGCATAAGTAAATAAAAATTGGAACAAACATTTATATATATTCTTATATATGGCATTTGTACCATTGCATAGTTACATAATTCTTTGACTTTCAATTTGTTTTATGCTTTAATCGTATTAATAAAAAATTACGTATGTATTCGTAATAAAAATAGAATTTGAGGCTTATCATCTTTACTGTGCGCAAAATATTAAAAATATAAAAAAACATAATGAAAATAAACATAATAAGTCTGAGACAAATACTTGTATTACTTTCTAATTTGTAAAAATAAAAATAAAACAAATTATACAGAAAAAAACCTGTTAATAGTATTTATACGTACTATAATTTACATTTTTTCGTATTAGAAGTTTCGCCACAAGAGTTAAAAGCCATTTGGAATATTTTGGCATATTTATTTCACCGAGATCTATAACTAATAATAATAATAATAAAAGATTTACTATTCTGTCATAATATATACGTATATAATGTAAAACAAAATTATATATAAATTATTCATATCATCAGACTTTAAAAAAATATCTAATATATAATATAAATACTGAGGATCATCAAAAGAATTGTAAATAATCTAAGTCCCCAGTCTAACTGGGGAGTTTTTTTAAAGCATCTCCCATAATTTATATATAATTTTGTTCTAAGTTTTTTCTTATTACCAATCTTAACGCATAAGGTTAAATTAAATTAAGTTCTTTACACATATAATTCTTGTTTTATATAATCTAATCTCATCCTTTGTATTGAACCCTTTATATTCAAATTATATTAGATATTCATATTAATATAGATATTCAAAATATCTAGATAAATATTGTGAATATTAATATGGATATTAACATAAATATTCACAATATCTAGATAAATATTGTGAATATTAACATGAATATTAACATGGATATTCACAATGTCTAGATAAATATTGTGAATTTACACTATGCGATGAAAGTACATTATTAACATAAAAAAAATACATAATAAAGTAATTAAAAACATAAACAAAATTATTCTTGATATCCGTATCAATCTAAACTTTACGTAAATCTGGGAGTTACTGATGTATTTTATTGTGTGGGTGGCTGATAACCGTAACCTCCGTATTGATTAGGTGGTGGTGGTCCTTGTGGTCCAGGTGGAGGAGGCATGTGTCCACCAGGTGGTCGTGGCGGATACTGTGGATATCCTTGTCCTGCTGGCGGTGGAGGGTAACTTTGAGGAGGATACTGAGGATGTCCATAGTGTTGTCCCCCTTGTGGCGGATGCGGACTGTAAATCTATTAATTCAAGATGCTCTCAATTTTCAATACGTCAATAATGAATTCACGTAAATGTACTCGATGTTTTAATTAGCTGCTCATACTTGCATATTACATAATTTTTCACAAACGTTTCAAACATAAATAATTTAAGAAGGAAAATAAAGTTTTCTTTTTCTACATAAAGAAAACTGAATAAAATTATAAAAACTGTAAAAAAATTATATTACACAATTGCCACGAAACAACTAATAAATCTAAAACTATGTCCAATATAGCCAAATATAGATTACTCGAACAATACCTGTGGTTGCCCTCCTGGAGTCGGTGGCACATATGTTTGCGTCGTAGTGGGTCCGTAACCAGGTTGTTGTTGAGGGCCTGGTGGTGGGGCGGGACCCTGCGGTGGACCAGACGGCGGCTGAAATCCACTCGGAGCTGGACTCTGAGACGGTTGCTGTTGTGTCTGCGGAGCTGTTTGCGACTGTTGCTGAGATTGTTGCGGTGGCTGGTGTGGTGATTGATGCGAGGGTGGTTGATGGGATGACTGATGAGTTGGCTGGTGAGGTGGCTGATGCGGGGCGTGCGGTGGTTGATGTGGTGACTGATGCGGTGGCGGTGGATGCGGGGGGTGCGATGTCGGATGTGGTGTTTGATGAACGGGATATCCAGAGGGGGCCGGCGGCACCGGGGGTGCATAGCTTCCGCCCTGCGACGTCGGTGGCGGACCGCTATTCGGCGGATACGTCTGCGTCGAGGCAGACGGTGTGCTTGTCGGCTGACTGCTTTGGGCGTAAGTATTGCCGCTCGCGGAGGAAGTGCTAAATGGCGGAGATGTAGAGGTGGGACCGTACTGCGTCGCGCCAGGACCTGGACTCGGTTGGCTAACATACGTGGGCTGGGGACCCGCGTTTTGCTGAGATCCAGGTTGCGGGGGCTGAGTCGCGCTAGTTGTCGGAGGTGGTGGGTAATTTTGCGGTGGTACATTGTTCGCGTATGTCTGCGAGGAAGGAGGGGGATAATTTCCGGGCTGTCCAGCACCGTACGCGTTTTGAGGTGGCGCTTGGGACGGAGGCTGCTGATAATTTGGTTGTGGACTAGGACTGCCGTATTGTCCTGGTTGTTGTTGTTGACTACCTGATGAGAAATTCTGCTGCGAGGCATTCGAAGGCGGATAGCCTTGCTGATTTGGCGGTGGTGGCCCATATCCGGAAGGTGGTTGAGGCGTGCCCGGTGGCGGATAACCACCTGGTTGTGGACCGTAACTGTTCACCGTAGTTGGAGGACCATAATTTGGCTGCGTCGCTGCACTATATCCTTGCTGCTGAGAAGCGTTCGGCGGTCCGTACTGATTTGGTTGACCGGGAGTGTACGCGGATCCTTGTGGACCTTGGTAGTTCGAGGCAGGATTCTGACCAGTATATTGAGCAGGATAACCTTGTTGAGAAGGTTGCTGAGGATAACCTTGTGGACCTCTATACTGCTGCGGACCCGGTGCGGTTGGAGGCCCTATAAATTTTAAAAGATTGAAATGTCTGGTAATAATCTATGGCCAGAGCTAAAAGAGTTATGATTATACCTCATATTAAATTAACATGTAATTATCAGTTAATATAATTTTAAATTAGAATAAAAATAAGGTTTTTATTAATAAAAAAATTTAAATTAGAGTATAACGTACTATTTATCGCAGGTCCTTGTCCAGGCATCACAGGTCCACGATAACCTTGTGCCATTGGTTGGCCTTGATTGAATGTCGACATTGGCATTGTTGGTTGCGTATTTGGCGGCATTTCTCCTCCGGGACCAGCTGCACCACCCGGACCACTTGGAAGCCCTTGTGGGCTCATCATCCCATGCTGAGGACCATTGGGAATACCTTGAGGTACCTTGAAACAAAAAGATAGCTAATTAAATCGTGCACGTGTATGTGAAAATTTCGTTTAACAATAATTTGGTTGAATCTATAATATACTTCAACTGCGTTTATTATCCCATGAGATCTATTACTTACAGGCAATAAATTCTGAAGATTCTGGTTTACATCAGCGATAGACGCCAGATACACCAAGTTGCGATGTAACATTTGTTGGTACCTAAAAATTAAATTTAACAGGTTTACTAACTGACTTGACAAAAGTTGCCTAACGTATCGAGAAAATAATCCTCTTTGATACTCGTCTCTGGTATGTACAGCTGAAAAAAATAACTCCGGTATGCGAAATTAAGGCTGTATCTTCATAATAACAAAAATAATTAATTCTTGCTGGATAAAATCACTTCGCAAGAAACATTTTCTAATCATAATCAACTGAGAAACACCGAGAGACGCATAATCGCTACATCGATCACTCACTGTATGCATTCCTGTGCCTTGCCCTTGTTCTGATACTCCTGAATCATCTGTATAAGTTGGCTATTCTCATCGAGCATCTAGAAAAACGTGACAAACACACACATGTACACAGTTACGCTACTCCTTTTCTTTTTTTTAGCGAAGCCACAGTCAGCTTCTTTACCTTTTGTATCTGGCTAGGATTCGGAGGTGGCCTGCCGCGTTGCGCGAAGGTCACGGACATTTTCGAAGCGACAACTCACGAGTCGTCAGGACGTTGGAGCAGACTTCACCGAGAATGGGACCGGGGCACTACTCTCCGAGGGGGATAATCCTCCGTCACGTCACGCTATCGCGGCGAGTTACCTGGAAATACCTTAAACCCTGGTACGTCCATCTCCGTCGTATTTCCCGAGCGTGCTCCCGCGGTGTCCGAGGCACGAGATCATTCGCGCGGGACCGCCGGGGACAGCGCAGAAATCTATTTTTTTTTTTCAAGCTCTCAACCCGCGTGTTATGTACACACGTATATATATATGTATGTCTATGTATATATGTATGTCTAACCACAAACCAGTCGTGCGTGCAGCGTATTTTTTGCCGTAACGTAACTGACGCGTGTGGTAATTATCGTCAATTACCTCGCGAAGTGCATCCAGTTTCGGGGGTTGGGTGACACGAGAGATCGGACAGCTTCCGCGAAAAACAGAAGGCTTGGGAGAGCAGCGCTACCAACGGCGGGCACGCGAACTCGCCTCTTTTCCGGTCCTTCCGGAAGTTATGGAGAACCGCGAATGGCGCGAATACGAATTAAGGGCGCCATTCTCTCGCAGTCCGATTTTACAAATTTTATATTTGACGGCGAATGTCGATTAATTCAATTAGCGACTACCTGATCCAAGCAATATTAGTTATACTATTTATACTGATAATATATTATGATATTTATACTTACGTGGATTGAGAATGACAATTGTATAGTTGCGTAAAAGTTTTGCCGTAAAGAATTCTGCCGGTTGAATTAGGATGATTTCGACCAAACTCTGATTAATTTAATTGTCGACTAATCAAGCGATATTTTGATATTCGTTAACGTCGACAGAATAGTCCATTTTTGCTTAATATTGGAAAGAAAGATTAGGCTAAGAAAGGAACGACGAAATTATATATATAATTGCATAAAAGTTTTGCTGCGAGCAATTTTGCACATTTTGCAATTTGATTAACCCGCGAGAGGAAAAAAGATGCGAGAACGATGGAGGAGGTGCCAAAGAACTAAGAAACTGTTGGAAACCCTGCTGCTGGAAAATTGGCCAGACTGTTAGTAATAAATTAAGAAAAAAAAATAAATAAATGAAAGATAGGAGCACTCGCCGGTGTGCGACGCATATAAGACCGGCATGTATAAAAAAATTGCTTTATCACGTTGATACAAGCGTATACGCAAATGGCTTCAGCGAAGGTGAGCAATTACTTTTATACTCGTCACTGACAAATCGGGAGAGAGGAAATAAAATATTGTCAAATCTGTAATGTTACGTTAATTCTGCAGATCGAGTTTGCGGTACATATGACATGTGAGAAATGCGTCAATGCAATTTCCAAGAGTCTGGCGGATCTGGATGGCATCCGGAATGTCGACATATCGTTAGAACGCGGCGCGGTCACCCTTGAGACAAGTCTACCTTACTCCGTCATACAGGAAAGAATCGAAAGGACTGGAAGACAGGCAGTGTTGAAGGGATTCGGAGGTTTAAACAAATTTTGCTATGCTGTTTTCATGTGTATTACAATCAACTTGCCTGTTTCATTCACGATTTCTGAAGACACAGTATTTTTAGAACTGTTGGAAAGAAAAAAAGGAGTTATGGAAAAATAACTCGTATCTAGAAGACTGAAAAGCTTATTTTGAATATTTTTATATTCTATATTGAATGTTTTTATACATGCACATATGGTAGAATTAATGATACACATAACTACTTGTGATTGTTAAAATTAGACACTTATCTTTTGCAGATGGATTAAGCGCTGTGTCAATGCTGGGTGGAAACTCAGGATACAGCGTGAGCAATCAGATCAGAGGGGTAATAAGATTTGCAGAAACTCCAGAGGGATGTATCATAGACGGTACGATTGACGGTTTAACTCCGGGCGAGCACGGTATGCACATACACGAGTGCGGTGATATATCTAACGGCTGTGACAGGTGAGTCACAGGAGCTCGCAAAAGCAAAATACTTGACGCTTAGAGTACAAATTTTATTTTTATTGCAGCGTAGGCGAACATTTTAACCCAAATAATTCACCACACGGTGGACCCGAGGATGATTTGTCCAAGAGGGTAAATATAAAAACGTCAGATTTCTTAGATCTCATGGTATATTTTAACGATGTCACTGTTGCCTGCAATTGCAGCATGTCGGTGATCTTGGTAATGTCCTAGCAGACGCTGCTGGCAGAGCTACGTTTTGGAGGATAGACAAATTTCTTAAGATACCTGACATTATTGGCAGATCTCTCGTTTTTACCAAGGATCCAGACGATCTTGGAAGAGGCGACAGTCCAGAATCTAAGATAAATGGGAATAGTGGAGCTAGGTATACGGAATGATTATTATTGCATCAAGCTTGATGGTTGACTGTGTCTTATTTAATTAGTTTACATTAAATTCCTCCTACAGGTTGGCTTGTGGCATTATAGCTAGATCATCTGGATTATTTCAAAATACGAAGAAGATTTGCGCATGCGACGGACTCACTTTATGGGACGAAAGAGATCGGGCACGCGCGAATAACCATGGTACAAAAAGTTATATAGAGTCAAATGAGAAAATATGCACATTAATTTGAATACTTGAAGTTTAGCTACAATCACTTTATGCGGCAAGATTTGTTGTACGCTGCTAATTATTAGTCCACGAAATTTTTTCATTAATATTTGATGAAAGGAAAGAAAAAGAGGAAAGGAAGAAAGGATTTTCTTAATCTTTTTTATATTTTCTATTTAAATAAGCAATTGTGTGAGAATTGGAATTTTCTAGTAATCATACATATGATCTTGTAGTAACACAAATTCTCAAGAAATAATTTGACATAATTCATACACTTTTTCTTTTCAGCAAATTTATAATTAACACGGAGACATAGCGCTAGATTGATCTAACAAACAACTTTCCATGTTCGGAATTCGTTTGAACAGAAATAAATGTACCACTTTTCGGTAAAATAAAATATATTTATGTAAATATTTAGTCTCTTTATGTACAAATTTATATTAAATTTAATTACGAATTTCTATTAAATTAAATACATTACATTATCATTATATACTTTATCCTTATCTCTCTAGTCCTGTATATGTATATTTAACATAATTAGCTTTACATTCTAAAAATTTTTTTAATTTTGGAGTAGCTATTCTTGATAATGAACTATACTAGATAATTATATTAAATAATGATTTGTCCCATGCTAGACTAGTGAAACAAGTCTGAAAGATATCAAATAAGAACATGGCATTTTTTACCTCGTCGCCCCCCTCTTAATGGCTTCTCTTTGTATTTGGTTCATGGCGTTCATGCTATATTCCATTTATGAGGTTTATAAAGATGTATACAAGCCTATAGTTTATTCTGATATATTATAATATTACTTGAAGAAGTAGCAATGATAATAAATTAAGGAAATGTTAAAGTAAGTAGAAGAAACTTTACTGGAAGTAACAACTGCGTATAATTCAACGAAAAAAATGTAACGTTAAAAACTTTTTTTGGGGGTTAGGTTACTCCAACTGGCTATGGAATAGGAAAGTGCTTTTAACTCGGTCCTTGGATTATCTCGCGCAAAAGATTCTTAAACCATGTTCACTTCCAAATCACTTTATTAATCTTCCTGACGAAATTGACTATGACTTTCGACTTCATTTAGTCATAACGCTAAAAACGGACACATTGAGGTTAGGCTTAATCACAAACACAATGTAAGTGATAAATCAACAGAAATAAGGAAATTATGGTCAACGTGACACTACAAATGCTTCGAAGCATTCCTTTTCTCTTTTCTTTTAATGAAGAAAGAAGGAGAAGAAGAACGCTCCGAAGTATTTGTAGCGTAAAGTGGACCGCAGCCTATATAAAGCAGTAAAAAGAAGCTTGTAGAAATGCCAGAAATATCGTTGTTTAATAATTTTGTTACAGAAACTCGTGTGGATATTAAATAAAGCTTTTAAAGAAAATTGACTATCAGAATGGGGATTCCTGGTTTAACAACGTACATATCGAATGATTCGGAGCGCTACCTTGAACCTTACGCGCTACACGACAGTTATTTAGTAATCGACGGCAATAATATATGTTGTCAATTATACATGTGGCACGTGAAATGCAATTGCGCTTTCGGTGGCGATTACGACAAGTATGCGCAATGCGTGAGAGATTTTTTCGATAAACTCTTAATTTGCAAGGTCACCCCGTTAGTTTTGATTGACGGTGGCTGCGAAGACAAGAAGCTGAAGACCATTGTGTCTCGAACTAAACAGAAGAATGAGATCGCGTTAAAATATACCTTGTCTTCTCAGCATAGAACTAAATTCCTTCCGCTGCTTTTAAAAGAGGTCTTCAAAGATGTGATGAATGAGAGAGGCATCAGATACGCACAGTGCATATTTGAAGCAGACAATACCATAGCTGCGATAGCACGCATTCTCAACTGTCCTGTATTGAGCTACGACTCTGATTTCTATATTTACGGATCTTTATACATACCGTTCAATACGCTGGAACATGACGTAGTGCGTAACCCGATAGGCGGAGGTTACATGAAACGTTGCAAAATTTATCGCGTTGAGAAACTCTTCCGGGTTTACTACGGATTGAATCAGTCTTTGTTGTTCTTAGCAGCAGTATTATTGGGGAATGACTATGTAAAGCAACACATGTTTAAAAACTTCTTTCGTCATTTGCCACAAATGGACAAAAGGAGATTCAACAATGAACAACAACGGCGTATAAACGGCACGTTCCAATGGCTACGAAGACGCAATTTAAATGAAGCCGTAATAGGGGTACTGAGTAGATTGCGGAAACAAGAACGCAAACGCGTATTGAATACGATAGAAATGGTAATAAACGGTTATATCAATGCACCACTGAGCGTGCTACATACGCTAGGTTTTCCTGCAGAAGTTTTTTCGAAGGCAAGCATGCAGAATATGTTCAAAATGTACAAATTTGAAGGTGATATATATAATTTGACGTATATCGATGAAAAGACCAATGAGACGCAACTGAGCGATGAGGAGGAAACGGAAGACAAAGAAATAGCAAGCATACTTGAAGAGAGAGAGTTGGTCTCTAATGAGTCTCTGGTTGACAATTTGCCTAAGTGGTTTATTCATGAATTCAAACAGTGCAGATTTTCTTCCTATTTCATAGATTTAATAATAAGAAAGTTATATGTTTGTCCTACGCAGATTGAAGATCCCTCCCAAGTTTCATCTATTCATATAAGTTTAAAAATTATAGGTGTTATTTATGGATTGTTGATATCAGGAGTCAAAGGAAGGAAAACCAACATGGAATATATAACCAGAGACGAGAATAAGGGGATAAAGCGTTATCAATTGGAGTACAGCAATAATATGTTTGGTTGCGAACTACCTTCTTTACTCAACTTGAGAGAATTATCCATTGTTACTCGAAGAGAAATTATAAATACCGCTTTGACGATCTCTAATGCAAGTTACATAAACGAAATTCCATCGAGTTTGATGTTGTATATTGCAACCATGAAGTACTGGATAGGTCAACAACAGGAACCGTCTAAATTCAATTGTCACGTATATGCTTTATTATTCGCTTTGTTATTTAACATAATCGATTACCATATAGGCTTATATAGAATCCTGAGCAAATTCTGTCAGAGATTTAATAAAACTGTGGACAATATTCGACACCAAAGAAAAACGACAAACTATCGGCCACAATACTCAAATAATACTACACTTGCAAATGCAATTCACGAGGTTAATCCTGATGACTGCTTACTTGCAGCTGCATTCTTCGTATCTAATTTCGAAGTAGATCAGAAACTGTATACGCAACCGAAAAAATTCAATATTACAATTGTTCATGGTTTTGCAGAGTTTCAAAATTGCTTGAGGCATATTCTAAACTTAAACGCATTATTGGGATATCCATATGAACCAACCAAGGTTGCTACTGTGTTCAATGGTACATTATTGTACAATTTATGTAGCAATTTTAAAAAACGTGACGACGTTGAAGTTTACATCAATTTAATGTTGCAAGATTCCCCGAGTTTGTCGCGTTTATTTAACGTACTTTTATCAAAAGTCAAACCTTTGCTTGATACTGCACTGGCGTGGAAAGCCAATAAGTGTAAAAAGCAAAAAACAAAAAGATATGAAAAGAAGAAAGCTACACACGAAGAAAATTGTGAAGAAGAAAAAATGTGCGAAAGCACCAGCGAAGAAGGATCCTTCTACGATGCAAATAATCCTTTTTCTGTGCTTGGAGCCATGCAGCATTAAGCTTTTTATTGTATATAATTAAACTGAGTACAATTGTGTCTCTACAAATCATGTATTATATAAATTTGTATGTTATATATTCATTTATACATATATATATATAAAGAATTTGTATTGCATAGGATGTCACATAGAAACATGTCTAAAAAGATTTACAGTTATATTGTAACATTGATGTTTAAGAGTCACGATTCTTAGATTAAAGAAAATCTAAATCTTCATCACTATCAGTTTCTTCTTTCTTAGAGGAATTCACGTAATCTCTTCGTTTCTGATACGTTAGTAATCTTTTGCCACCTGGCCTTTTCTTCCTCATATTAGGCAACTGATTGTTCTAAATAAATTAAATAAAAGGATTTTTTTGCACAGTACAAAGATTGGTGTAAAAGAGATCAACGTGAGATCACATATTACGTTTGTGTAAATCTCCCAAAATGCGCTGATCGCTGTTTTAACAGAATTAGCCTCTTCTCGTAAAGTTGGTATATAATATTGGTCGTCTCCCTGTTTAGCAAGCAATCCAACGCAAACAGCATATTTCAATTTCTCCTGTAATTCCTGCTCGAGAGCTTTGAAATCAGTTTCAACAGGATAATGTCTTTGTATATGATCCCTTAAGTTATTTGATTTTACAAATAATTGAAATTTTTGTAAATCTTTCACGGCTATACGTAGCATTTGCGGCGTTATTGGGATCTTCTCCATCTGAATGCGAAATGTACTCTGTTATAACATTTTGATTTTATTCTAATCGGTAGTGCTATGTGTAAAAAAAATAAGGAAAAGAGTTATATCTGCTTGTTATAATAAAAATATGGACATATATATTATAATCAGAGTTGTAATGTAAATATGGACAAATAAGATTTATAATAAAATCTTTTATTAACAAAATGTTTTTTCCTGGCAAAATTCTTGACGAATGTAAAAATTCATCATTAGATTAAAGAAAGTCATTGACATATATCATTAAGCGCACACAAATAATTTTGTAATATTTGAACTTACAGTCTTCGATGTATCAATGTTATTAGTAATATTGGTTTGATGTTAGTTTGGTTTGACTGTATATTATTTTGATACAAGTAATTTTGACAATTAGACGACATAATTTTTGTTGATTGGACGTAATTGGCAATTCGTACTGCGCATGAATAGATTTGTTTTTTTTTTTTTGTATTATATAAAATCAGGGAAATTATAAAATAATAGAATTCATAAAACACGAAGCTATTCTATTGCAGAAAATAGTATTTAAGACTGAAGGAAGATGTTATAATGATGTCAAACTTCGTATGAATATTTTATTTATTTATTACCCAATGATATAGTAATATCAGTCTTAAATAAATAAAATGTACTTATACATATATATACATATAATGCAACATTAAGAGAAATGCACTGTTATTTAAAGTTCACATAAATCTCAACGTAAAGAATAAATTCTGTCCAAGTTTCACTTTGCAATAATAAGTGTTATTTTTTTCATAAACTTTTAGAAGAATAACGTTATAAATTAAGATGTTTAGGATGTTTCTGGCCAATATATGTTCCTTTTGTTAAATTACATATATTACATTGATTACAGAATAACAAGTACATTTCTATACATATTTATATTTTCCTCTCATAATTGTAAATAATGTTATCAGTATATATTAATAAATCTCTTTTGTATACTTTGCAAAATATATCTGTTTTATAAGAATGTAACACTTTCAACGTAGAATGAGATAGTGATTTAAGTTAGAAACTATGCACAAAAGAAACTATTTTTTTTATAAAATATGAAAAGAAAAATTTTTATTTGTAATAAAATCATATTTAATATATAAAATAAGTCACGTATATAACATTCTTAAAATTCTTACCAAATTGTAACTTTCTGTCAAAAAATATATAAAACCAGTAATTTATTTTTAACAAATTGTGACTACAATAGTATTATTGTGACAAATTGACTAAAATGATAGTCTCCGCTCTTCGAAAAGGTCAATTTTAGTTATATTACACATAGAAATTTACATGCGCGTTTAGTTTGGATTTTAACATACGTATTTTCCTTTGTGTATATATTATTGATATTAATTGATTAGCTTAGAGATAGAGATAGAGACAATAGCTTAGATAAATATATTAAGAAAAGCTTTGCTTCTTTCTCTTTATAATCCAAGAACAAATTACAGCCAAAAACACATCATTATAACAAAAAAATATGTGGATGGACAATGACCAGATAAAAAACTATTTTTTAATACAATTAATTAAAAAGTACTATTATAAATTAATATACCAAAAAGCTTTTTGGCGAGTTATTACACTTATTACACGTTTTATAATTTTTAAATAATTCATCCGCGCGTAATTTGTAACTACATAATTAGGTAACTACATGTCACAGAATAATTTATTAAACTATACTATTTTATTGAAATTTAAGTTTCCAAAAATTACATAAATATGCTTATTTATTGATTTAAAAAAAATTGTGTTGTATCCGGTGTAATGTCAAGCGAATTGGATAGATTCTTTTATATATGTACAAGTCTGATACTATTGTTACATTATCGAGATATCACATGACAAGCTTAGAGGTAAATAAAATATAAAGTATCATAAGCTTTCTATACCGAAGTTTTAGAGAAAATTTGTATCAATATTACGTAGAATATTTCGACACAAATTAATTGATAGTCGTAACAAAAGTAATCGATTTAAAAATATAAATGAAACAGCTTAATATAGATTATTATAAATTTGATATCACATCAGAATCAAATTACAATATGCTATTATATCATATATCAATACAGATTTAAATATAGCGGGATTTATAATAAATTAGCTGCGAAAGTAACATCTGAACAATATTTTTACAACAATTACGTGATTATATTACAATTTGGTACTGGCTGGTTGCAATAAAAATTACATTAGTAATTCGAGAACTGTTATAGCTCTTACAGTATTATACTTAAGCCCTATATACAGTATAAGCTCATATAGATTGTTAGTTCCTGTACTTGAATTTTCTTACTTCTGCAACTATAACAAAATACCATTGCACTGGATCTAACATATAGAACTCCTCTCTAATATATATATATATATATATATATATATATATATATATATATATATTTACTTTTAATCTTTTTATATCTTATTTCTATATAAAAGAGAATGCGTCAAATATATCGTGTTTGGAATAAAAATTATATCATTATATTTCTTTTCTGCGAAATGATCCACTTCACCATGATCATGAAGTACCGACACCACGCTGCAAGAATTTTAGGGAATAGGAAAACGAGTGATACATATAGTTAAAAAAAATGAGTATAACACAAAAGATATGGAGAACAATCTTACTAAATCCCTTAACCCTTAGTAGGATTGTTATTCCATACGTTTACAAAATATTGCACGGAAAAAACGATAACAATAATAAGTATAGTATCCACAAAGCTCTTGAACATATTTATGTTATGATGCTGTTCACCAGATTCTCTTTGCTTCCTCACAACTTGTTCTACAATCTGCTGTATACGATTCAATTTCTCACCATGTTCCATCATTTGATGCTCTACTTCTTTCATTATGTCAATTAACCTAAAATAAATATATTTAATTATGTATTATCATCGATTATAAATTTTGCGCGCATTACTATAAAGTTAATAACTCACGATGCTTTTTTTATATTTTAATATTCTTACCTAGCAGTTGACCGTCTTCGTTTTCCTAAAGATTGACTAGAATCGGTATGTGCCTCTGCAGATGAGCTTCCAGAATCGTGAGTCTCTGTCAAAGGCATGTTATTTGATAGCTGCCTCTTAGAAGATTTGAGGACTGATAAGGAGGAACGTGATTCAGCTTGTAATAATGGAATCTGCAATGATTTTGTAATTTATATAATTAATCGAATCTAAATATGCACAATCGAATTTAAATATGCACAAATGAGATATTTTAAAAGTTTCATCCGAGGTTAATATAAGGTGCTAACATTAATGTTTCCTAAGTTTGAGATCTAGCTAGAAATTTTTTAAATTAATTTTTGAAAGCTATGTCTTGACTTTTTTTGCTAAGAAGCTGTTTAGTACTCAAACTATTTAAACAAATGTTTTCTGGATTATAGTAAACGTATGTGTTAATTAAAGCGCAAATAACAGTAAATTAAAATAATTTGCCTCTCTCTTTATTTTACATTTAGATATATCGTGTCAATAAAAAGAGATAAGAGATTTTGATTTGTTAATAATATAAAAAAATACACAGCAATAAATAGTAAAAACATTTTTCTGTTAGCATGCATAATTTTTTGTTTTTATTGTTTATTTATGCTAGATTACAAGTTTATTTTTTTTCTTTTTTTTAAATTGTAATAGTATCTTTTATATTACACTTCTTCTCTAATGAAGGCAACATATTTTGTGATATGTGCAAACTTCTGCTTCAGAAAGATGACAATACACATACGACATTCAAAATTATAAAAATTTGAATATAGAAAATTAGATATTATACCTTATTTTGAATGTATAATAATTTTAAATTTATACAGTTTACGCGATTACGTAATGGAATCTTAAAACTAACAAATGATTCCAAAGAATTAAGTTGATTAATAAATATAATAATAATGCAATTAATGTTACACGTCAAAGTAAATTACAAGTCAAGCGATACAAGTTTATTAAAAATATCAGAACTGTATACAATCTATTGAGATCCATAGGTAGCAAATAGAATAAAGTAAAGTAGTACAACATGCAGTTGTTTAGTAGTACTGCCGGACAAAGTAGAAAATAGACACTTAAAGCGATTAAAATAATTATTACTTATAGAAATGTGTACAAATGTTAGAACAGCATGCACAGTGCAAACTATATCTTACGTCGCTGTACCTGTGATTGTGGGTCAGTAGAAACAATACTACCAGTACGCATAATAGGTGTTTTATGCCTGGTCTTTGTGCGCACTACATAATTTTCTTCATATTGTACTACATCGTTTCTCGGATCCCATGGTCTTATGTCAGCATGCCGATACACCCAATTTCCAGTTATGATGTCCTAATGGTAACAGAAAAAATTAGAAATTACTTTGCAAATATAAATATATATGCAGATAAATAATTAATAAATATCAAATATAAAAGCGATTTATATCGTACTTGAACGAAATATTTTGGAATCCATTCTTGTCCTAGATGCTTTCGCTCTTTAGCGCGTTCTCTTTGTGCTTCCTCAAGTCGAGTTTTAGCCTCAGTAGCTGCAACTTGATCATCGCTATTAATAGCTTGTGTAACAGCGTACCACAATTTTTCGCTTTCCCACGGCCCCTGATATTCCATAGGAACGGTAAATTTCTTCAATCTTTTTTTGCGTATTTCCGGAGTTGGATTAAAGAAGACATTTTCTTGCTACGAAATAAAATATTATATTAATATTATATTATATTGATGGTTGTCTAAAATCATCAATTAAGATTCAAGTTTATCTTACTCCTGTCCGCTTGTCCGTTATTAAAATCAATCCATCCCAATATCCCGAAATAGTAGCTAAAGTTTCCTTTCCTAAGCGTATTCGTCCCACAACTTGGTTCATTAATTCCGCACCGCCAAGAAACGGCTAAAAATATTATCATATTTTTAATTAAATTGACATTATTTTTATTCAAATTAACATAATTAAACATTATTATAACGTAAAAAATCATTAAGATCTATCAGCTTTTAAATCGCGATTTTATTAAGAATTTTGGTAATTATGCAAAAGCAGCAAAATATGCTATTTGTTACCTTAAGTTTAAATTCTAATTCAGTTTGATAGCCGGTTTTCTCACATATTATGTTGACTTTTCCACCGAGTTCCATAGACAACGTTCCCATAAGAATGCCTTTGCAATGTGCATAAGGAATTGTCATTGTATAATCTTCACCTCTCGGTAGCATTGTTAATACAGCAATGCCATCCAAAACTGCAGAAGTGGAATTTCCTGTAAAAGTTTGACATATGTATTATTAGGTAACGCTATAAGTATCAGACAGGAGGTCGATTCTGTATTTTGAGAGACGAGGTGAAAATTACAAAAGTGAACAAGTTTACTAGATTTCGACAAATGAAATTGTAGGTTCTCTAGTGAATTTCCTCACTTTTGTAATTTTCACCTCGTCCCGAGATACAGAATCGACTCCCAGAAGTATTAATATTATTATCTCATGTAGTAAACAAATTACTTACTCACCATAAAATTTAGATTTTGCAATAATCGTAGCGCTAATAGTAAATCCATCTTGGCGATTTGTCACATAAAATCCTGAGATGGGTGGATGATGCGACAGCTAGTAAAAATATTAAGACATATACGTTAAGATAAAATATAATACTAATATATTTAAAAAAATTGATAATTGGCTGCATATTAATTTTAAATTAGTCTACGGAAATCTGTTATTGAAGTTAAAATGAAGAATTTCAGCAATATTATGGCAATGTAGACAAAATCTAATATTGTTAGTGTAATAACTTCTAGGTCATTACTTGTTCGGCTAAATAGAATGTTCTTGATCCATTGGGATGTTGCCAATAGCAGCGGAATGTTTCACCCAAAAGCGGATTGTACGGCTTTTTCAAGCCTTGTGGTTTCTTATAAAATCCCGACAAGTACCATTTCACTACGGCTTTCATACGTGTAAATGCATCATCTTCCAACACTGCTCTGTAAAATAAAATAAAATAAAGACATTATGGTTAATTAATATATCCAAACAAAAATCACGATATAGATATACTACTACGTTTTACTAACTGGGACAATAAATCAGCGTGATAATACGAATCGGCCAGTTTTTCCAAAAATGAACGTGACTCCAGAATAAAAGTTGGCAATACAACTTTAGATAGATCCATGCCAGGACGAACTTGTTTCATTAAGAACCATATCAAAGACTTCTGCTCTTCTTGCAGTTCCGCAACGACTTCACCAGCCTATTAATTAATAACGATAGAGTATTACGAGAAATAATTGCAAAATATGTAACATTATACTATATATTCATGATAAAATTAAAATGATTTAGGGAAAAAGAAACTGTGAAGAATGCGATGAATTACAAATATCTTGTTATAAATATTTGTTTATTTATAAATATTTCTAATTAAAAATTGTGCTGTGCAGAGTTTATACTTACTGTTCCAAGAACTTCATTTTCATTAGCTACGTATGGTGTTTCAGTGATTGGCTCCGTCGATTGATCTTCCTTAGCCGATGCCTCAGATTCGCTGTCCGAGGCACTGATTTCAGCATCAGCTGCTACTCCATTCTCCGGCTGACTAATATCGTCCAGGTCTGTACGCGAGGTGTACACAGGATCTAGCGTTACTACTTGACGGGTATCATACTCTAAGACATGTACAGAAGGAATAGTCATGCGACGTGCTGGGGAAATTGGTGGGTGAGGTGCAGAGGTAAAACATGAAGAACCAGATGGCTGATTATCGCTACTATCTGGTTCCTCATTGGGAATCGAAGACGCAACGTTTTCTTGATCAGTGCCAGGTGTGAGAGATCGGTCAGGCAAGAGTTTTTCCCAATATGTGATTGCATGATAAAGATGTTGAAACATTGGGGTTGGTGAGGGACAAACGCTTCTGAAATCGCGAGTTACAGTGGGTGAGAGTGGTTGCGGGCAAGATAACAAGCGTCTTTGAGGTGTCGTAGGCGTTCTTGGGGCATAGCGACTTAAATATACTGCTGGTGTACGAAGCAGGATAACAATAGAAAGAGAAAACGGCAAACAATTATTATTAATGCAATTTATAAATTTAAACATCTAATTGTAAAATTACATTGATTTTTTACAAAATTTCAAGATTTTAAGATAGACACGTATAGAAATATAAAAGTATATACTACATTAAATACAAATCTGTGAAATTTTTCCAATACGAATCTATGAAATTTTAATAGTAGATTCCTTGAATAGTTTGTAAATTATTTTTGTTGTAACGCCAATGAATTTCTGAATTAAACAACTCGAAAATAAGTTTTCGCAAATTAAAGATGCAACAGATATCGACATTTTATTTCTTACTTAATGTTCATTATCTTCAAAGAATCAAACTTTAATGCTATTTTGGTCTTAATCATTGTGACATTTAATGTTCAAAATTAAAACAGCAGTAAAATATGATCAGCCATCAAAATCTCATTAAAAAAATTAATCGACGCTTTATCATAGAATTAGTTATTAAAGTTTATTGAATAATGAAGTTCGTTGGGGGACGATATTTTCAGACAAAAATAATGAAAAAAGTTACATTAAACTCGTATGGCACAAATGGAAAAGATGTTATCCATTATTTTTGTATGGTAATATATGTGGATGAAAAAAGTTTTTAAATTATATTGATACTTATTATTATAACGCTGTATAGAAAATTCTATATGTTATTAAAATGTATTAATTTTTTCGCGCGATTTTTGTTTGTGGTTATGTAAAACTGATAGAAAAGTAATTTGTAACTAATTACTTTCATCAATAGGGGTGCAAATTGACAAATCACCATGCATCATTCACAGATTGCACTTCTTGTACAACATACTTATCTAATTATTAAATACTTTTATAAACCCAATTCTCTATTTATACTATTCTATCAAAAATATCGATTGCTTACTTATCTTCTTTTGTTTTATATATATAAAAATTTCAATACGTAATAAATGTGTTATATTCAAGTATTAATAAAGTTGTTATATTTATATTTATTATGTAGGTTTATATTTTAATCATAACAAAATAGTTTAATGAACAAAATAGTTTGCGTTTTGTACAGCAATCATCCACAATAAAATATAATTGTGTATAAAAATTGATATAACTGTATATGTACTAAATGTTCTCCAAATCCAATATAGAATAGATATTTCTTTTAATAGTATTAATAACGAGATACTAATAATTTATAAAGTATTAAAAATATATTAAAAAATAGATAATAGAGTCCAAGAATATTTTTATTATGCAATAATTGACTTCGAGTTAATTAATTCATGGGTGAAGAAACATGCGGAAAACTTAGAAAACCCTGCTATACGCGCTATTATATTGTTGGAAATTTTATTCCATAAAATAAAATTCCAATAAGTTTCATTTAAATACAAGATATTCCACTCTTATTGCAAATTACATTTAACTATCTTTTAAATATAGTTAGGAAGAGCTATGTCAATGATACTGACCATGATCATCAAAGTGCTTTTCATAATCAGCCTCGCTCCATTGAGTTTCATGAGTGGTGGTTGTATCGTGTGGTAAAGGACGCGGTAATGCGCTTGTCGAGCGCACTATTAACGAAGAACAGCGTAACGACAATTCAAGAGCGTCCAACCAACATTTGCCTGCCGCTTGGGACGGTGCTCGAAAGATTAGGTAAGATGTTGGCAAAGGTTGTACAACAGCACCTGGCAGATATTAATTTGTTTATAACTAAAATATTATCTATTATATCTATATATATCTATTATTATACATTAGATTATAGATATTATCTATTAATATAATGTAAAAAAAAATTACTACATGCAGTATATGTAGAATATACATAATGATGCAGATACATACCAATAGCTTCTTTTTCTGGTCCTCGAGGGGCCCATATAGATTGCTCCAAAGGATGAAATAATTTAAAACAAAATCCATCTTTCTTACTCGGACGTTCTATAACTTGACACGTATTGAGTAGTACCGTTCCTACCCAGTGATTACTCTGTAATAAATATATAAAATCGTAGATACCTTAAAAGTAAGGAGGGCGCAGTTGAAAAAGAAGGGATGCAAATACGAACCTTTGTTTTTGGACTTTTGTACAGCAGCAATAATCCAGGTTTCAGAATACACCATAACTTGGTCCAACTTTTCAATGTGCCGCGAACTTTTAACCAATCAGTCATAACAATAACGGTTGGATCTTTGAAAGAACTTAAAAGTTCGTTGGCTACTCTTTTCTTTTCCATTCGATAATTCTTTCTCTGAGCCTTATACGATTCCTTTCGCGTTAATTTGCAGGAATCCAACGACTAAAAATACCATAAAAATGTTATTTGTTAAAAATGCATATTCAAATTAAAATAAATCATATTATTTCAAATAATAAAAATGCAAAATAATAAATGTAACCCAGAAGAAAAAAATAGGTTTTTTTAAATAAATGAAAGAGAATAAAATCTTTTTATTGATTACAGTTCAAAAAGAGTAACTTAAAAAAATTTATATAATTTTGAATATAAATCCTAAGTCAAATCTGTAATCTTCCGGCCAACGAAACTTGCAGTATAGACACTTTGCAAAATCTGTTTTCGACATATTGATTTTCTAGGTACAAATGTCTTAATAAGCAAAATTTGTACCTCAAAAATAGAGAATTATTTACCTTGTCTGATAAATTATCCATTTTCTGACTACTTTCGCCAACTGCAGAGATCCCTATAACATACATAATTTTGTGTAATTATACTTTGCACGGTCATAATTAGGTGCCGAAATAGAATGTGTACGCAGAGTTTAGTCTCTAGAAATTTTAGTACACCTAAATGTTAAAAAAGTTCTTTTTTTAACACTGTTATAAATACTTTGTTATCATAAATACTTTGATATTTGGTATTCATAAACAATCTGAATAAACATTTAAAAATGAGATTAGTACTATATTAGTTTTAACACGCAATGTATCTGGTATATGTAAAATTACATATTTCATATACTGCATATTTTTATTTTATTAATATACTTACAATTTATAGATATAATTTTTGACAAACGGACAAGTCAATGCTTCTTATCATAAAACCAAACTTAATCGCATTACTAAATGATTTAAAATAAAGAATAAGACAAAACCCAAATATTATATTTTTAGAAAGAAATAATGCATATTTATACATTGTAAAAATAAATAAAAATTACAACACTCTCTCTATAATAAAAGAAAAGCAAATATATATAATATGTTATTCCATATTAGTCTTATGTAAATGAAATCCTACATAATCACGCATTCATCTAATTAGAATACTACAAAGTAACACAGACATTACGTTTTCTACGCCATAAGTGAACAAATCAAGATAATCTATTGTTGTAATTCGAGAATAATCAGTTAATATTCAATTTATTCAGTATTTCTTTCTCTTAACAGGTAACTTAATTAATCAATATTTTACTTTGTACGTTTCACATATTTAAGATTTATAAAATATGTTTCACAAAAAAATACAGAGTGAATAATATTTAATAATGCATAACAAATTTTGCATAAAAATTATCTTGATTTGTATTACGAGTATATCACAAATGCGTTATATATATATATATATATTAAATTATCCATTCTTATTCTGTTTAAATATACACATTTCCTGACTTAATATATATACATTTAGAACTTCAACCGTACAAAATAAACCACATGACATAAAAATCAAATTTTCGAAAAATTATTGTATTAAATCGTATCTGTTATTACGTTAACACATGTATAATGTATATGCATAATATGCAGTAAAGATTTGTATCAAATCTCGCTAATACGTTTGAACAATTAATTAGATTAAATTAAATTTTTATTTTTACAATTCAGACCGGATTTAAGTATAATTATTCAAACATAAAAAATTTTGATCAAACTTTCAAAGATGCAAACCAATTAGATATATCGCAACAAAAATCATGCTTAAAAAGAAATATCCACTACTTTACACAAAGAGATATTTAATACTAAAAATCAAATTTTGGAAGGCAGCATGCAATGTTTTTCCTGCAAAAATAAATACCACCCAGTCTATAAAAGTATAATTGAATTTGACGCAAACCTTATGAAACAGCTCGTACAATACAATGAGACATAAACATTTTTATATTATTACATTACTACACTGAGTTATATAATCAGGTCAGTGTGTATGCACTCTCTTATATCAATGATAATCATTATAATCAACTAAGCTATAATAAAATAAATCTTTTTTTTTCGTATCCAAAGCTTATTTTACAAGCATGTAAAGTTCAGATAATAAGCATTAAATGATATTGCTATATACAAAAAAAAGCTCAAAATTTGTAAAGAAAATTGCATATAAAACGAAACACAAACACAAACGTTTAGAAAAGAGCTATGTAAGCCATACGTGATTTCAGAGAAGCTTTTCTAGCGTATACGTATCTATATACTGCAAAAATAAAAGTATATAATACTAATCAAATTTGGGAAGCTGCTCGCAACTGTTCAGAGTTAATTCCAAACTATATCAACGACGTATTATTTTCTAAAATATTTCTAGGTTTATACCTGTAGAAACTGGAGGTGCACCGGTGATAATATTTATGCTTGTTGAAAGGGACTCAGTTGATGGAAGTTTAGGTAACGGTGTAGACTGTGCTTGGATGCTGCTTCTTCGAGGTTGTCGATCCGCTGGTTCTACATATTTAGCACTTATTCAATTGCACTCAATATTCATTATCGCATCTTACGTCACATTAAAATAATAGAAACCGTCTCTCAGAGAACTATTCGATCGGTCAACGGTAGACAGCCAGAATTTTATATTTTTCTACGTTACAAACAGGTAAGATTAACATACAGAAATAGAAGAAACGTCGCAATATATCATTGTCCTTTGTGTGATGGACGAAATGACGGTTGCAAAAAAAAAACGCATGATTGCCTGCAGTTGAATGAGAGATATTGCATGTTTGTCTACTTCGTTGTATATACTTATGTATGCTAAAAAAAAAAGAGAATATGCACGCTTAATTTATACATGCACGATAGAGAATACATGCTTTAAACCCTGTATTGCTACATGCAGCCAAGCAAATTATATTACAACGACATATATTTACAAAACAGAACAAAACATTGTCCGCAAAACAATATAATACACCATCTTGTAATAACATTGTTTCAACCAATGTCTCAAGAAGAAGTATCACAGTGTATTTTACAAATCATTACAGTGTGTTATTAGTAAAGATGATCTAGAGTAATCTATATAGACACATTTGCAGAGCTTTTAAACATAGTTTCCTTCAACGCTACATTTCTTTTCCTGTTATTTTATACATGTGTATCGTGTTTTGTATATGGTAACGGCAAAATGTTTTTTAGAATAAAGAGACTTGTCATGTGGAAGATGTTATCTAGGACCGCAAGTGAACCTTTGCATTTCATCCCAGGGATTTACAGTAGTCCACGTAAAATCATATACATCGTCCTCATTGTACATTTCAGGACAAAACCAAGTGGAAAAGTGGGTCGTAAAGCACGAGTTATTATCCACAACAAACTACGGTGCTTATAGCAGTAGGGATTCCTGCTATAATATGAGAATGGTTTGTTACACTCTCAAGTATTGATTTCCATTTTTCCAACAGTCGGACGTGCTACAGTATGCATTTCATTCATATTAATAAGCTGCCACAGCTGCACACCTGACATATTCTTCATTGTCAAGATTACTATGTATACAGTTTCACATATGAAATACGTCACAAAACGGAGACACACGCAAGCAATATATAAATATTCTTCCAATAAAACTGTGTTATGTTATATTGTAAAATGCGTTTCACTGTGTTGAAGGTATTGAATTGTATTCAATGTACATCACTGTTATCTTTCCCAATTAAGGGATCCTTTTAAATGGCCGAAATATTTTGGGAAAACCCGAAAATAAATACATTTTCGAAAAACCCGTGCGCTTATAAATAACAAACTAACACAAATCTAAATATCCTGATCCGTGTGTATAAATACAGATGTTATGTAAATGTAAAAAAGTTGTACGTAATTTGCGAGAGCGTTACATAAATCAATTGAACCTTAGAACACTAACAACAGGAAAGAGATCTGCAAAAACATGCCGCAATTATATCTCTATATTATTCTTAATTGATATAGTTCAAACGTCAATGGCCAGGTGCTTGAAATAGTTGGATAAAACTCATGAATCTCTTGAAGAAATACGCACACAGTACTTGTGCGCACTCGTATATACAATTATGAAACACAGCTTTCTTAATTTCATATTTTTATTGCTCTCCCAATCTCATATTTTTAGGCCTGAACGCAGTTCATAACTGTTTCAAAATTTTAATAAAAATTTCTTATAAACTAATTACATTTTATCTATGTCAAACAACAAGTGACAGACACACGAATAACAATCAACATCATTACAGGCACCTTACAATAATCAAATTGTTTACATCTTGGCGTTATTGCAGGTGTGACGTGTTCTCTCGCCAAGATACATAGATTATATAGAACACGTATATGTAATACAATAAATGATAAAGTGACATAAAGTGGCACACTTACGGCTGAGGGATCGGCTGACGTTCGGCGGTGTCATGGTCTTGAAGCTGTCAGTTGAACCTGCCGGCATAGACTGAGCCTCCGGCTGAAGACGTTGCGTCTCGCCGCCGGGCACCACGATCGGCTGCGAACTCATCGTAGATCCAGGGGATCGACAGTCCGTATCGTGCGACGCTTCGATCTGCCACAAGGACACGCGTTACATACCTTCCGCGTCGAAGCCGACGAACGCGTCGGTCGCGGCGCAGCCAGGGAGAGGGAAGTGGAGGGAAGGTCCGCGGTCGAATGGATAGCTTTAAGACAGCTAGACAGTTGACGGAGAATAACAAATCGCGAGAAACAACGCGCGCGTGAGGAACGAGCGATCGGAGCGATGCGTGTTTACCTGGTCACCCTGGTCTCGGCACAAGGCACAAGGCACAACTGTTACGCGAGGCGCGCGTCCATCGCGGCGACTCACCTCGTCTCCTCGTCTCTGTCGTTCGACACGACAGACGTGTCAGTCCATCGCGGCGGCGAAATGCGAACGTATGCGGCGGAGCGTAGGCAATTAGCGCGGCACGACGGCCGACGGCGGCGGGACGCGAGCGGGGAGACGCGACATCGCGACGTGCCGGCGCGGCACGCCGTCACCGATCACACTCCCGCCTGGGACCTGGGGCCGACTGCCGAGTAGACTTCCGGCTGCTGCGGCTCGCCGCAACGAGGCCGGACAAGATGATACGACGGTCGCGTACGGACGATCTCGCACACCATCGATCTACCAGCGCGCGGTAGTCGCTGCTGTCGCTGGCACTCAGCTGGTAGTCGCCCGGTGTCGCGGTTTCTGGAGCAGTCAGCAGCGAACGAAACGAAGAGAGAAAGAGAGAGAATGCGCACGCGCGCGATCCCAATCGCGTCGCGACTGCAACGCAACTGCTGCGCGCCGCGAGTGCCGCGTTGAGGCGAGTCGCGCGGCAACGTGACGCGCGCCACGCTGCACGCGTAGGAGGATGTAGAAACTGTAGGAAAAGAGGAGCAATTTTGGAGCAAAAGAGGAGTCTTTTCCTGCCGCGCCGCGCCGGTGGGAATTCAGCAACTGTAGAAAGAGACCGGGGAGGAGCCGACGGTGTCGCCGCGCGACGCGATCCCACGTTGTATCTCGCCGACGGCGACTGCTCTCTCGATCTTCTTTCGGTCCACGTCCGCGATCACTCTCGTGGCGTTTGATATAGTTATTTGATTTAATGGACGGTTGAGCGCGCCGCTGGAACGTCCGGGATTTTTTTCAGAGCGCGGCCGGCCGTGACTGATGACGTTTGAGATCGAACGTTGTTATCAGTCGTTATCGCGCTCCGCATCCGCCGATTGACCTCTTCGCTCTTTCTCTCTCTCTTTCTCTCGTCCTCGTTCTCACTCTTCCTCGGCTCTTCGAGAGGACTGATCGATCGCTGATACGTGTAAATTTTTAATAATCGCGCCCCACCCACGGTCGTTCTAATATTAACGTGACATATCCACTTTATATGCCCGCTTCTCCGCCTCCGCCAGTCCGCCTCGGTGCGTTACACACAGCGCGGCGTATGTGAAAGAAAAACGTTTAATTCTAGGCCGGTTAAACCGGCGGGGGTCGATGCAAATTAGCGCTCCGTTAACCCCGGATTTCTATAATGGAATTCTCTCTTGGCTATACACGTCTATCGAGCGTTCGATCGTGAATCGCGAATTGTCAAAAATTGACAATTGACGCGAGCGTATTAGTTATGCGAGTATGCGTGCTCCGAGAATGCGGGGCCATCTGGCTCCGATCCGAGCTCCGAATTGAACATGGCTTTACGGCTTTACCTCGATTTTCCCTCTCTCTGTTCGCATTATGCGCAGAATCGGTGATGTATAGCCGATAGCGAGAGCGAGCGAGCGAGAGAGGGAAGGAGAGCGGAGAGAACGAGTCGATAACTCGAGCCGTCGTTCAATCCCGCGCTTTATCGACACGATCTGCAAATTAGTCTACATATAAGACGTCGAACAATCTGCGCACTTGGTTTTTCAAGCGCCGCGTCCGATAAAAAAATTCGATGGAAAAAAGCGACAAGCCTTTCACATCGACTTAACACATCTTACGTTCGACGCGGTCCCATTTTCTTCAAATATAAAAAATATATTCGACTATACGTGTATACATAAAAAGAGAAAGAACTCTCGATTCCCTTTCTCCCCCTTCGCTCTAAACACGCCCCTATATGCTACGCAGTGTATTTCGTCCTTGCGTTTCCTCGCAACAATCGTGATATATGCATATTGCGCTTCATTGCGGATGCAAGAGGGAAAACAAACAGAGACGTCAAATAATGACCGCGACCTGGGATCCGCTTTAATGGCATTTCGCGTATTCTATTACGGCTGACAATGCCCGATGCGCGATACAACATTGCTTATTCACAAGGCAATTAGATGTTTTATGTAAGCGCCGCCATCGTCGCGATTCAGGACTCGTGTCCATTTCTGTCAATGTAGATTAATTATTTTTTCTGATTCTTAGAACTGACTTTAATTTCAGTTCAACTTACCTTACATCTTTTTCTAGTTCTAAGAATTAGAAAAAGTAAGTTAAACCGAGATTAAAGTTTTAATCTGCAATAACATTAGAAATGGAGTACATTATTCAGATAAAGTTGCATGTATGACCGTATGCGCAAAGAAAATTATTCACGTGCATTTTACGCGCGTTCTTACGAT